TTTTAGTGACAGTTGTAAGCAAAAAAAGCACGGAATGAAGTTTAGAAGTATGTGCAAAGTTGGGGCCAAGGAAAGAGGAGTGCTGAAGACATCAGAGCCACTAAAAAGAAGCCAAGGACATCTCAGGAACTGGCTGGACTCCACCCATTCCAAGCTCTAGGATGTAGAGGTTTTAATTCATTTGAAAACACTGTTTTGAGAAGAGAAGTCCAGGGCTACCTGTTAAGGAATTGCTTGTATGGCTCATGTTAGGGAAACATGTTCCGAGAAAGGATTGGACCAAAGCAATCAATATCACACTCAACAAGTCCAACATAAATCCTGTAACTATATGTCAAACATTTGAGGCACAAGGTGGCATTGGCACCCTGTTAGGAAAGTGTTTCCCCAGGGGCACTCTGAGACCATGCATCCATGTTTCAAGGGGGCCTTGGCTGCTGTTTGAGCTTGTGGCAGTCCTTGATTTTATTTATATAGTGTTAACTGTTTTTGTAGACAGGCAGAATCCAAGAGTTTTGGAACCACGGGGCTTCTACCCTTATTTCAAAGGAAGGTGTGGGGGCCAGGCAATAAAGAGCAGAGTGGTAAACTGGCCAGGCAATGAAGAGCAGAGTGGTAAACTTCAAAGGAAGTCCCTCAAAGGGCAATGCATTAAAATTGTGAAGGTGGGAACATGGAATGTTGCCAAAGAAAGGTGCAGTTAATTAGGAGAGCCTGCCTTAAAGAGAGGGCCATAGGAGTTGCAAACAGCAATGCCACAAGGGCAAGGCTGCTCAAGACCTCTGGGGCCCACATCATACCATTACATGCCTCCAGATGCTGGACATGTAGATATGTGATTTAACATTTACCATGTTGAGTTTTGATCTCAGTTTGGTCCAAGCCTTCATGTTATTCTGCTGCATCCATCTTTTTGAATGGGAATGTATACTCTGTATCATTCAATTTTCAATATTCAATTTTCTTTTTAATTTTACAGGAGCTCATAGCTACAAGTTTGCCTTGAGTCATTGAAGAAACTTAGAACTTTTGAACAATGCTGTTAAGACTATGTGGATTGTATATGAGTCAGCCATGAACCTTTGGGGACCAGGGATAGAATATTATGATGTACGGGGATGTGTTTGGGTATCAATTTGATAAAGGCTAGAGATAGTTAATGTTATCAACTTAGGAGCTTTGGATGTGTCTGTGATGGCTTTTCCAAAGAGCATTAGCTACAGGGAATTTGGGGGAGATTCACTCTGAAGGCAGATAACACCATCATCACAGAGTAGGGCCCAGATAAAGTAGAAAAGGGAGAAAGTCAGGCAGCAGAGGCATTCTCTTTGCTTCCTAGACACCACATGACCTGTTCTGCTCTACCATGCCAATCTACATGATGGATAGAAACTACTGAAACCATGAACTAAAATAAATCTCTCCTGCCTTAAGTTGTTTGTCACTGATTTCTGGTCATAGCAACAAAAAATTCAGACTAACAAAATGTATGTGCATGTATGTACATAGTTTTACCACCATTTTAATATTTTATAGTAGAAAGTAGTTCATTCTGCTTTATCAATGAAATTCCTTAGGTATCAATCTGATGCTGCCAGTCAAGGATTATGGCCTTAATTAACAGAGACCCTCAACTGCAGAGAATAAGTGCCTGAGGTGTGCTCAGTCCTAAATGGAGCATACACACCACACCCCTCTCCACAAGGCTGAGGGATATTCCTGGAAGAGGAGATGGAGAGAGTGTAAGAGCCAGAGATGGCAGAAAACTTCAAGGAGATAATGTGGGCTGGTACACATATGACCTCACAGCGACTCTGACAGTATGATTAAGACTGTGAAGTTCAAGCCAGACAAAATCCTGCATAGATGAGCAAAGATGGGCACAAAACCCCACTACTAGATGAGAAGCTATTGACATGTGGCAACTCCTGGAAGAGGAAGAATCAGTTTTCCTTAATGATGTGACCCCTGGTAGGTAGACCACATGTCAGATTAGTTGGGCATCACAAACTGCACTAGATTGGGGCCGGGAGAAAACTCAAAGTTTGATGGGAAGGAATGGGTAGATGGTTATGGGAGGAGCTGGGAATGTGTGAATGTGTTCAAGATACACTGGATAAACTTTTCAAAGAACTGTGGCCTTTTAATATTTTTCCGATACTAGTGATTCCCAAATAAATAAAAGCAGTTCCATAAGGAAGAGGAGGGAATATGCAAAATAATACTTTAGAACACCAAAGTAAAATTTTATGGTTTTTTCTCCCAGTGATGGGGACTGAACTCAGGTTGCACATGCCAGGCAAGGGCTCTATTAGTGAACTACATTCCCAGGCACTGCAGTTTTCATTTACGTTGATTTCTGTCATGGTCTGAATGTGAACTGTGTCCCGTCTGTCCCTCCCCCATCCCCCACGAGAATATGTTCTGGGCACTTGGCCTATACCTGGCTGCACTGTTTTAGGAGCTCACAGGACGTCTGGGACATGGTATGTAGGTGGCATAGTTGGCGCATACAGGTCACTAGGGAGGGTCTTGAAATTATTCCTGCCTCTGCTTCCTCATCTACCAAGATGGAGAGGCCTCCTTCATAAGAGTCCTGTTACTACCAACTTTGTCATGCTTTCCCTACATGATGGACTGAAACTCCAGCCAAAATAAACACTCTCTTTATGATGCTTCAGGTATTCCGTCAAGAGAAAAGTAATCTATATGAGCTCTTAAAACGAGAAACAGAATCAGTATGTAGAAACAGAATCAAATTGATACACTGGTGCCTCACTCGGTATTTCTGCTAGGCGGCTTCTCTTTACATATATGTTGAGGATTTCTTGAGGGAGGAGAGGTGATTCCCACCCAAGAAGTGGAACAACAATATTGCTCTTTATCTGCTCATCTTCATCATGGTGTGATGAATACCTTGTCTTTACATTAAATAAAATGAAAAAGACAGCTACACAAATTCTTTTAAGAAGCTGTGGATCAAGGACAACACCAATCATACTGATAATTAACCAGAAAATAAAAGGGCAAACCTGTGGCTCTTATCCTTACAGTGTGCTCTTTGTTAAGTATAGTGTAATCTGAATGTAGTTTTAACATTAAATGCCCCAGGTTAATATGCTAAAAATGTTTAATAATAGATAACGTGGTTTTAAAAAAAGGTGCTTATTGACTTCTGTTGTAGTCAACTAAATTAGCTGCAGTACTGAGAAGCAGACTGCGTTCAGTGGACAAAACCCAAAAGTGTTGACATTTGACACTGGAGAGAAGAGTCCTTTTTAGAGCCCAGGCTCCACAAGGAAATTGCTGTGGGGACACTGGACACACTGGACAGAGTTAGTCTCTTGCTTCACAAAGCTTACCTGAAACTTAGTCCTATGTGATGCAGTTCTTAATTTCCTGCTAAGTCAGACATGGAGGATAGTGATAATGTGTGTGATCTCTGCCTAGAGGAATGCATACTGATTTAGGTAAGTGCTTTTCCCTTTAAAGAGTAAAATAAATAGAGTAAAATAATAGCTGTAGATTACTCTGGGGGATATAACATATCCTTCACATTAATTTTACAAGAACGTATGTGACTAAGCCTTTTTTAATTTATTTATGAAAGTCATAATGGCTGTGACACAGGCAAGAAAGCTTACAGGTTCTTTGCCAGCTGTAGCTTCACCTCTCTTTTGTATTAAAAAAAGCAAGTAAGCCAAAATTACTACATAATGTTGAATCTGCCCATGTAAACTTCTAGCACTTCCAATTTCAGTAAGCTAACTATTTTTAGTAACAGATTACTTGGAATGCACAATAAATGACTGAGAACAAGACATCATCATGTCATCTGTGAGACTCACTCTTTTGAGGACGACTCAGCCACAGTCTCTTCTGCACGTGTTGCGGGTCTAACATGAGACAAACCAGCAGAGCCTCCTAGTTGTGCTAGGCCTATGGTGGCCGATTCCCAGCTTGCTCACCTCTGAACAAAGCAGCTTCCTTGTTTTACCTTGGCATGCTTTTCAAATACAATTACTTTCTACGAGTGCACTGACACAATTCTGAGAAATATCACTTTAGAGCAGATTTGCAAATTACAGTATGTGTGCCAGATTTGGCCTGTTGCTTGATTTTGGAGAGCCCATGAGCCATGCATGGCTTTTATACTTTAGATGGTTGAAAAAGAAATGGAAAGATGAAAATGACATGGCATGCAAAATTTTAAATGTCAGTGTCTGTAAATGAAATTTTACTGGAACAAAGCCATTCTTGTTGATGTATCTATGGCTGCCTCTGTGTTGCAACTGTAGAATGCAGTGGCTGTGACACAGACACTTGTTATCTAAGTCCTGTACAGAGAAAGCCAACTGACGCTTGCTGAGAATGCCTTATCAAAATGAGAGTCATGCCCAGTTAATAGACTTGTCTTTTAGCAGATCAGTAACAGAAACACGGAGCATATTTGCACATGCAGACACTCTCCTCTGGTAGTCATCGTGATTTAATGATGGCAAATAGCTGGATAATATTCCGAAGGACCAGATCTACAAATAAGTGCACAAGGACTGAAGGGGAGGGCTAGCTCAAGAGTAGACTGCTTTCCTATATCAGCCCCCACCCCCGCCCCGAGTTTGAATCTCTAAACTGCATGCATGTGCATGCATCTCTGTATATGTGTGTGTGTGTGGGGGGCAGTGTATAAAAATATGTGTATATGATCTGACAAAGGATCTTGGAAGTTTTAAGGTTTGAGGCTATGTACTGCTTTGATTTGCCAGGTTCCTGGCAATAGGAGGTAGTTTCTAAGCAGAGAATCTGAAATTAAGAGATATCTGCACAAAATTACAGATTATAAGTTACATAATTGAAATTAGGAGAAAAAACACACAGAGTTACTTCTCCACATAAATGAGGAACAGATCAGGGGTGGGATGCACAGGAAACTAGAAACCAACCAGCTTTCTTAAAGCAAGAGAGCCTCATCTGCTGAAAGGAAGAAGCGTGTCTCTTACTTGCACAAGTGTAGGCGTCTTTGTTGGTGAAAGGCTTCATGCACTGGCTGCAGCTGATGGGACCCACAACAGGAATGGGACTGAACGTGTGCCCATTAAGAGTCTTCTTCTCTTTATCCTTCTCTTTAGATTCTTTCTCTTTCTCCTTAATTTTATCTTTCTCCCTTTCCTTTTCCTGCCAAAGACAAGAGTCAACAGTTAACTGAGCACTGGAAGGTCTTCCCCTTACCTGGACACACAGATGGCATGTGGTCACCGGAGGGTGGGGCCCAGTGTGGACAGAAATGAGGAACGACATTCTGGGCAACTTTTAATTAATTTTCAGTCATGCAAGCTCCCACCAGAAAAACTTAGGAGTTCTGAGTCATCAGGGGCTGCTTATACTAACAGACACTGGGCAGAGCCCGCAGCTGGAAGGTTTCCTTAGTAAGGTATGGCAGAGTCCACACCGGAAGCACTGAGTTTCTATCAGTCTAGAAAGGGAGCAGAAGGATGGCAGCAATTCTGAGATCAGCCTGAGGGGGAGAAACAATGTCACGTAGTCTAAAAAGTCCTGTGAGGCTCCTCTCTAACTTTTACACACCACATGTATGTTCCTGAATTAATGAGACTCTGACATTTTCTTCCTTACTCTAATCAGAACTATTAAAAAACCCTGCATATATAGTTTTTGCTAACTAGAACTCAGTAGGTTATCAGACATTATTTTGGGTTCAGTGTTCAACGGTGAGGAAGAGGGAAGAAAACTGCACAGGGGTTAAGCATGAAGTTGGTTCTAAGTTCTACTAACAGTGGGACTGTGGGTGAATTTTTTCTTTGAGCCCCAGTTATCTCATTTGCAGAATGGGAGAGGTACCCCCGTTTTACAGTTCTGTTTGTGTTAAAGCCTGGCACATACTAAGTATAACATTTACTACATTATAGTAAATATTCATACCTCACTGAAAATGAGTGTCATCAGCTTATTACTCTCCTAACACAACACAAAAGTGCAATCTCTTGTGGTGAAGGAAAGGAAATTTTGACTTTAGGCATGAGACAATAACCCAGGAGCAGCGTAAGGACGCTGGTGCAAAGCATGGAAAACATGGGGTACAGAAAAGGCAAGAAGAAGCCTTGTCAGTAACCTTCCCCAACCACATCACCACAGCACTCACTTCCTCTCAAAAGCCCAGGGACCCAGGACAGGGAATTCCTAAGGCTTTGCTGCTCGCCCCAAAGCACAGAGACAGAAAACCAGTCTTATCTATGGTTGGAAGAGCAAGGCTCCCCAAGACCTGCTGTCTTTGATTTCCGCTGTAAGGCTTCCTTCTTGCACTATGGTTGCCCCTCAGCTCTGTAAGAGGGAATAGGAAACTGACATTCACCTCATGTTTACTATAGGCCGAACCACTATACCAGGGGCTCAACTGACTAACAAGATTAACTAGACCATGAAGACCTCCAATTCAGAGAGGTGAGCTTTACCTACTGTTTTATACTATGACTACAATTTAAAAAGACACCCAAGGAATGAATGAGCTTCTCGAAGTGAGTGACCATGCTGACCACTGAACATGTAGACATTATCTAAATAGATTCATTTAGCAGATGGGCATCATGCTTTCCATTTTACAAGACAGGGCATTGAATGACACTTAAAATGATGAATAGTTACTTTGTGCGAGGCATTGAAGTAAGAAATTTTTATGTATTTTCTTGGGACAGGGCAATGAATTATAGTTCTAATTATCTCCATTTTATATCTGAGGAGACTAAGGCTTAGAGATGTCTAATAATAATATACTTTGGAGCACAGAGTGACGACTGTTTAACCCTGAGGTGGTCTAGTTCTGGATGACTAAAGCTCAGCTCTCATTCACCACACTTACTGTAAAGAGGGTTTGCGAGGTTCCTGAAGGTGCAAAGGGTCAAGAAGCAAATAGGAACTCAAAATCTTCTGGTTTTCTAAAGTTCAGAACGCACCCAATGTGTGAAATGGTTATTTGAAAAATCTATGATTCATATGAAATTCTCCCTTAACAGAATACATATAGCAAAACCCCAAAGCCAAACTGCTGCATTTTAAAACTATAAACAGAAAGGATGGGGGGAAACCACTTTACAAAACAGGAAACCCTTCTGAACAAAAACTGGTAACTGCTAAAGTGTGTAGAACTCCAATGACCAAACCTTGAGCATATCCAAATGACCCCTTCAACTAATTTTTTTTCTGCAGATTTCTCTATGCATAAATTGTCAAAACCATCTGACTTTTTTCTTTTTTGCGTGAAGGTTAAAAGCATGCTCCAATGTCTAAAAAGAAAAAAAAAATCAAACAAGACAACTTTCTATGGCAGCTACATTATTTTCCGAAGAACTCTGACGTCCCTCAGATCTGAACAATCCATGTTCTCACCCTTTACAATAACTAAGACTAGTTCCTCTCCGAGGACAAACACGAAACAAGCTGCACTGCCGCCTCCTGTTGTTCTAATCCAGTGCTTTGGAGAATCCGGGCTCTTACCTGCCCATGTTTTAGTCCCGTGAATCGCACTGTTATGAGAGGAACTTCGGGAAGCCGACCCCATTTTACCGACATGATCTGACCCCCATGCCAGGAAATGGTCTTTCACAGAAGGAGGCGCTCATGCCGGCAGGGCAGACAGCTCAGTAGCTCAGAGCTGCCATTAGCAAAACCGTAAGAGGAAGCCAGAAACTGGTTGAGAAAGTGCAGAAGGGGAGGGCTGAGACTGCTTGCTTCCTTGAGACAGTCTTAACTATTTGAATGCTGTTGATAAAGCTAACTACCCTACTCTAAAGAACGCAGGAAATGAAAGACAAATGAAATAACTCTTAAATACATGTGTGGACAGCACTTGTACTGTAGTATGGGAAATCTGAAAAGGATAGAGGCCACATTTATCTAGCAAACTCCTAATAAAAAAGCAAAGTTTATACGAAAATATTTTAGCTAAGTTGCCCATGGTAAAATGGGTGACTGGTTATTTTTCTTAAATTTAATGTGTCTATATTTAACCATTGCCAACATGCTCTAATTGTGCTGTGGAAAAAGAATCTAACAACATTTAAAAATAGAAGCGACTGATCACAAGACTCTAGGGTGCTACAAAAGAAAATCAGCTTTCATTTTCCTAAACCTATCCTTCTAGAAGTCAGGGTCCTTTGGACAACTATGAAGAGCTAATGTAATTGGACATCTTGGAAAGGATGATGGGTACAGTTCTTTCATATATAGGCACAGAAACTAGGGACTGGGCTGAACTTCTCACTCTAAAGTTAACAGTTTATTAGTTGGGGAGGAAGTTAATCCCTTTTACTCAGAAAAAATTTGAGTCAACCTAGGAAGTGGTTTAAAATATTTCCAGTATCTTCTAGTTGTCCTTGTAAAAACGAGAGCTTAATAGAAAGAGACGATCAGTGGCTCAAAGACCACTCTTTGTGAAGGTGAGTACTATGTATGTAAGTACTTGACTATGTGTACAATAAACACAATTCAGTACTACTGCTCAAAGACAGTAAAACAAAAAAAGAAACTGCGCATCTTCCTCTTATACTTCCTGTTTGGGTCTTCCAGCTTTCTAAAAAGCAGTTAGTATCTACATATGGCAACTTCTGCAAGTTACTGATGACTGTCAAAGGTACCCATGCAGGATTGGTAACTAAATTCCTTATATAATAAAAACTATATACATAAAAACCTGGCACCACTGGGCAACACATTATCTAGGAATGTGAACCATTCGCTAATAGCTACCTTCGGTTACTCTGAGTGTCTAAAGACTTGGTAGTCTCAGCTTAACATGTGGGATAACAAACCCACATTTCTAACTGTATTCTCACAGAGACATACACCATGTTCATACGGAGAAATGTTCCTAACTACACTCATATACAGCTTATATGTATTATTTTAATACAATATTAAGTGATTAAGTTTTTCTTTAAAACGAGATGTTTCTATTAGTTAGTAGTTGAGTAAAACAAGAAAGATTAGAAAGATTAGACACTCTCATTAACATATATTAAAAATTAATAATCTCAGCACTTGGCAGATACTTCAGTGGTTATTGGCCTAAGATGTGCAAGGCCCTGTCAGCACTGAGAAGAAAAAGAAAAACAACTAACCCCAAACAGGTTAAAAAGAGGTGAAAGCTCATCATTTTTATTAAAAAAAAGTGTTAATATCTATGCTATCACTTCCTTTTTTTTAAACAGCATGGGAAGCATTCAATAGGAAAAACAGTAGATTGATATTCATTTACCTGTGTATTCGAGTGGACATGTGACTATTTCTCTCTCATTACCTCTGCCTATATGACAAAGTGACAGTGTTCTTCAGCAGCTTGTATAACGGTCCTATTGAAAAGTTAGCCTATAACCACTAACTAGAAAGATGACATGCTAATATGTCTGGCTACTGGGGCACTTGTAAACACTCGGTAAAGGGAACTGTACTACAATCTGAGGAGCTATGAATTTGCAATTTTTGGAGTTTCCATTGCTGGAGACAGTACAGCCCCCAAAGATCAAATCTTCAAGCCAAGTGAAAAAGAGGAACCACGCCAATTGCAAAAGAGTGTCGGTCATTTTGCCTAAGGAGAGGAACAGAGGTAAGAGGTCAACTGGTTCTTTAACAGTGATGACAGAATGACTCTAACACAGGTAGCTTTTTCCCTGTCCCATCTCATCACCTCCCTCTTACCTAATGCTAGTACTCTGAGGTCAAAAATATTAGATTTGGCTGAAGAGTAAGCACGCAATGACAGGCAACACGTGTGGGCAGTTGGACCACACGCAGCCCTGCCCGAGTATTATCTAGCCGTGCTATTTGAGACACATTTTATTCAAGTGTGTAGAGGACGGAGGTTGAGGTGAGATTCTGTTTTAAAGGTCAAGTTCCAGTTTCTGAGTCTGGAACCACATTATCTTCGTTGCTGTCTGTATTACCCACTCAGCAATCTCAGTGTCATATCCACCAATTGGATTCGAAAGCAATGCCACTGGAGAGGTGGATCAAAGAGAAAGAATCTCCACTGTCTTGCCAGTCTTACAACTGTGTGTGTGTGTGTGTGTGTGTGTGTGTGTGTGTGTGTGTGTGTGTGTATAAGGTTCCACAGTTTAAAAGCAAAACAAAAACATTCTGAATTCATCCAAACCAGACCGTACCATTTTCAAGGTTAAGACTGAGTATTACAGACCACTAAGCAGAGAAGCCACTCAACAATATATGGCTAGTTTATACTGGTTTTTCCAAGGGAATTTTCTTTTGTTCATAGCAACTACTGACCAAACAAACAAGATAAACAAAACATGTAGGTTCTGCTGTTGCCAGTATATGGAATACTGACTTCATATACATACATACATATATATATTTATATTTAGTTCTAAAACAAGTCTAAGAATGAAGCCAAATATTTAAATACATAATTAGGCTAGAAATTATTTACTAGATTGTATCTTCATTCTGCACTTGATAAGAAAAATGGTGAAAAAGCAGATTTTGGTATAAGAGTTTTGTGGAATAAAGTCCCCAAGAGTAATGACCAAACCCTGTACATGGTAAAAAAGATTTTACTTTCCAAAGCTGGTGTCATGGCTTGGATAGTAAATGTCTCCCAAAGGTCCTTGGACTTGCTCCCTACACTACAACACTTTGTACAGACGGTGGAACACCTCCTAGGAGGTGAGGGCCTACTGGAAACAGCTTCCATGGGAGCCTCTGCAGGGGATTACGGAGCCTCCACCCTTACTCTCTCTTTGCTTGCCTCCAGCAGATGCTCTGACCGTGGGTACTCACTGTCACAGGCCCGGAGCAACATTGATAGGTGAACACAGGCTGAAACCTCTGAAATCAAGGTAAACTTTTCTGATTTTATCAGAAAGTTGTTATAGTAACAGAAAGCTAATAAAGCTAGTAAAACTTATTGGCTGTATTTCTATCAGCTCACATAACCAAATGCCTGAAGGCTTAGTTAGAAAAAAAGGGTACTTTTTTTTAATTGAAAAAAAAATTAATTATATTTTGCTCACATTTCCCCCCTCCCCCAATTCCTCCCAGATCTCCCCTACTTTCCTACCTCCCCAACTGTATGTTCTTCTTTCTCTCTTAAAAACAAAACAAAAAATCCAAACTCAAAAACCCCCAAAACCTCAAGAAATCCTGCAAAAACACAAAAATGAAAATCAAAACAAATAAACAAAAGAACAGTAAGACAAAGGAAAAAAAAAAAGGCCAAAGCAAAATGAAACAAAAACACCACTGAGTTCCTTCTTGTGCTGGCCAACTACTCATGGGTATGGAGTGTGTAGTTGCTATTAAGAGGGTACATTTTTATAAGAATGCTATTGAGTTCAGTACATACGTATGCACGTGTGCTTATGTGCATATATTTATATATGCAACGTACAGAGGTATGTTTCAGTGATTCATTTCAAGAGATCCTTAACCAATTATACCTTTGTATGCTTATTTCTTTGTGTATGTAGATGGATGGTTACAGGTAAAACAGAGTGCAGGGGAAGTGGGTGGGGTGGATAGTGTTTCCCTCTCTCCTTTGAAATGAAAGTAGTTTTGGTTTAGGATCAAGAATCAGTATAAAAAAGTTAAGCTTCTTTCTTTTTAAGACATATCATAGCTGGGTGGTGATGGCTCACGCCTTTAATCCGAGCACTTGGGAGACAGAGGCAGGTGGATCTCTGTGAGTTTGAAGCCAGCCTGGTCTACAGAGTGAGTTCCAGGACAGCCAAGGCTACATGGTGAAAACGAAACAGAACAAAACAAAATAAGATAAAACAAGAGACATATCACAAAAGTACTAAAAATATATAAATCAAAATACTGAGAATATATGTGGGGTTATTATAGATTTATTTCTTAATTTTTATATTTTGTAGAATCCTGTAATGAACAAACAACTACAACTGGACTTTTGAAACTGAGTTTAACCGTGACTGTGAGCCATCATCACGTAGGTGTTGGGAACTGAGTCCTGGTCCTCTGGAAGAGCTGTCAGTGCTCTTAACCACTGAGCCATCTCTCCAGCCCATGCTTAAGTGTCTTAATTTAATTTCTTAAGCATTAAAGAGTGATATAGCACAAGTCTTCCTAGTGGAAATAGATCCAAGTAAGTCTTAAAAGTTCTTATAATTTTCTGAAGTATAATTTTCTTCCCTCTATATCTATTATATACATTTCAACCCTTTAGTCTTAGCATAAAGTCCTTTGGATTTAATTAACCCTGATTTAATCATTTCTGCATTGAGGCTCAGTGTATGGGATGAGAGGCTAGAGAGACGGGTTGAACCTCTTCTCCACATTAGACAGGCACCCCTCAAAGAAGCGGGGTAATAAGAACTACACCAGCAGGGCTCGTGGAAGCGTTCAGTAAGCTGATGCATGGGCGGCTTTTGGCATGTCGTAAGGCAGTGGCAGCATTTCTAGCTGCTGCTTGCATTACCGTTATTTTTCTTCAGAAGTGAGACTGCTGCAAAGCATCACTGAAATTATTCACGTTTACACCTGGTGTTTATATGCAGTGCTGACTGGCTGAGGTGCTTACACACAGAACGCCCAGAAGATACTCACTTTGCTCTTCTTGCTGCTGGACATTTTATTCCTGATGTAGCTGAAGGTGCGACTAACTTTCGTCCCACTCTTGCCTTCAAAATCCTTTTTTGAGGGGCTCGGAGGCAGGAAATTATAGTTTTCTTCTGTTATACTGAATGAAAACAAAAAGATGTGGTTTTTTTTTTGTTTGTTTTTTTTTGTACTAGAAAAGTTAAATAATGGGCTGAGTAAGAAGCAGGCAGAGGCTACTGAATGGTCTCATATACTCTAAGAACAGATCTGGAACTGAATATAAAGCAGCATTGGGTGTATAGACTTTGCGTGAAGGGACATCCATGCACAGTGGAAGGGCAGGGTGCATGCTGAGAGAGCTGGCAACACAGAGTCTTAGGACAAGGATGAGCCCAGCAACAGCACAGGACACACATTTCTTCAAGTCTCTAGGCCTATTAATAATCTGGGTCCTGGTCCAAGAAGCTATGCACAACTCTGGGGTGAAGAATAAGCATATCTCAGGCAGAATGCAGACAGATTCATTCCAGAGGTTCCTAGAGATCCAAATTTACTGATTTACTTGTTCAAGAAGTCTGTATAAAATTTAAGTCCATCGAATCTGGACATGTTCTGACGGTCAGCCTCTGCGAGGGCATTTATGAGTAGAATCATAAAAGGACCCTCTTTAACAGCCATATTTATATATGTGATGGTTATAAAACAAAGGAGTCCGTTTAATTTTAAGAGAAAACAGAAATGGCATAAAAACCACCACTTAGGGAAAGAAAGGCAACGACATGAAAGTCGCATAAAGAGAAACAACCATTGGAAGGGCCCTAGATCACATTTATAACTAGAGTCTCTGTGAAAAGGAGGGCAACTTAAAATAATCAGGAATCCAATGACACTACATCACAATGTTTAATTTCATAAACACACAACAGGGAAATATAAACGACAAATTAACAGGGATTTTGTGCATGTTGTCAGGTCAAGAATCAATTCAAGTTCGAATGAAGCTCGATGATAAGGAACACTTACCTAGCATGCACAATCCCCGGGTGTTCCCCAGTATTAGGAAAGAAAGAGATGGGGAGGGGAGAGAAAAGAAAACCTCAATTCTACATGGTCAGAGGTGTATATTCTACACACAGCTTTTCTTTTTTGGAATGGAATAGAAACCAGAGTTTCATGTATGCTAAGCATGACCACTGAACTACATCACCAACCCTTAGCTTTAAAGGTTAAAATGGCTGAGAAGATAACAGAACTGCATAATTCACATATACAGCACACGCACACACACACACACACACACATATGCATACATATGTATATATTATGACAATGAAATATTAAATTTATTCAAAAGTTGAAAATCTCCATAAGCCAAGTATAATGTCAAATAAGTATATTTTATGTGAATGAAAGAAAATAATCATCTTTACCATATACCAAGACAATATGAAGAATAAGAATATAAAGTGATTGTATTTTGAAAGATAAAACCTTCATTATGAAATACTTCTAATTATTTCAAACTTGCCATTCAAGGAAGTCAGAGCCTGGGTGAGCTCAAAGAACTTAGGATATTTAATTAAATGCGGTAAGATAGCTTGTATGTACTGTCTTCATTTCAGTTTGGGGAAAGGAGTGAAAAAATAAATAAATAAATGCACCATACCTCTCGGTCAGGTTAGCACTGGTACTGTGGAAAGGCCGTGCATCTAGAGAATAAGAACAGAAGAGGTGAAGTTAGCACACAAAGATCCTGTCCTGATGACAGACAAACTACCTAAAAGGTCATAGATAAAGAGTACAAAGTCTTTGAGAGTGAGGGCATGGTGCTTCTTCCTTAAAAGGTTTAGGAGGAAGCCGGGTGGGAGGCAGAGGCAGGCGGATCTCTGTGAGTTCGAGGCCAGCCTGGTCTACAAAGCGGGTTCCAGGAAAGGCGCTAAGCTACACAGAGAAACCCTGTCTCAAAAAACCATAAAAAAAGAAAAAAAAAGTTGACGAGGAGGAGGAGGAGGAGGAGGAGGAGGAGGAGGAGGAGGAGGAGGAGGAGGAGGAGGAGAAGGAATTAGACTGGAAACCTTCAAATTAGAATGGAAACAGGAGGTAAGGGAATGAATTTCTCATGAAGAAAGCAAATTTAATCCAGGATCTGAGTAATTGAAGATACTAGTTTTTATGCTTAAATACAGGTGAAGCACATTTAATTTGTTTTTAATGAATGCTCAGTTCCCACAGGACATCTTTCTGAGATGTTATCAAAGAATATAAAAGAAGAAAGTAAATGTTATAGCTTTTACTCCTGATCCTATTTGTACATATTTCCATCTGAAAAATCTAATATTGTCTAATACTCTCTTGAGAATTCCCGGAAATGGATTAGTGAATAAGAGGAGCAAAGTGCTGCTCAGAAAGCCCCGGCACCACCGCTGGTGTGAGAAGACCTCTCCAGATCAGTTCCTCAACTATTTCTCCAGCACCATGTCTGCCTGCACACTGCCATGTCCTGCCATGATGACAATGAACTAAACCTCTGAACTGTAAGCCACCCAATTAAATATTTTCCTTTATAAGAGTTGTTGTGGTCATGGTGTCTCTTCACAGCAATAGAAACCTAACTAAGACAGAAGTTGGCATCAGGCAATGGGGCATTACTGTGATAGCCCTGACTATTGCATTTTAAAAACAACAGGAAGGAGTCACATCATACAACAGAGCCTACGGGGGAGGTTTATTGAGGGGAGGGGAGAGAAGGGGCAGAGAAGGGGGCAGAGACTGGTCCCTGGGAATGAGAGCAAAGGAAGAGGAAGAGAAAGACTGGGAAATATATATAAGGAAAAGTAGTGAATGCATACAGGGGGTGATCTTAGTGGCTGCAGCTGAGGATATATCCTGTCAGGACCCTAACAGCAGGCCAGTACAGATGCCGAAATGCTAACACTGACCATGTTTTTGTTTGAAGGAATATGGACCTTAGGACTGTGGATTAGAAAAGCAGTTCACTTTAAGTGCTGCTTAATGGGCCATCCTAGGAGAGGCATGGAAGACAGTGGTGTGAGTGTGATTTGTTGAACTATGGGTGCCTAGATCAAGAGGTTTCAGGGAAGATTATTAATATGTGGCCTAGAGATTGTTCTTGTGATATTTTGGGAAAGAATGTGGCTGATTTTGACCTTGTCTGAAGAGTCTGCCTGAGGCTAAAGTGAAGAGATTTGGATTAATTCCACCGGCAGAGGAAATTCAAAACAGCCTAGTATAGACTCTGTTGTGTGGTTATTAGTGTTCATGCTTAAAAAATTTATAATGAAAAGTAGCAAGTCGAGAAAGGAAAAATACAAAATGTACAATTTGAGGAGAAAAAGAGCACCAGGAAGGGAATGGAACTAAGTTCTGTGTTCAAGGAGATAAACAGATTAAGAAATGGAACAAAGGGAGTGGTGACCTCAGGGCAAGATCCCACCCAGCTAAGTTTCCAACTTGTGAAAAAGAATTAAAGAAAATCTTAGAGCCGGGTGTAATGGTGCACACCTTTAATCCCAGCATTGGGAAGTCAGAGACTGGTGGATCTCTGAGTTTGAGGCCAGCCTGGACTACTGAGCAAGTTCCAGAACAGCTAAGTGTAGGCAGTGAAGGAAACCATCAAAAACAGAAAGCTGGTGAAGATGTAATTGAAAGATCTCTGAGTTCAAGGCCAGCCTTGTCTACAGATCTAGTTTCAGGACAGTCAGGTTTAAGATAGTGAAGGAAACCATAGAAAACAGATAGCTGGTGAAGATGCAACTGAACGAAGGGGGCATGTTCCAGCACCAGCAAGCAGCAGAACTTGGCAGCTTTGGCCAAGTGGTTCTGGCTTTAGTGTTTTAGACAAAGGAAAGGGGTTATGGATTATTCCTCCATGACTAAGGAAAGTCACTGAAGCCAGGCATGTGTCATGGGTGTCCCTGAATGGAGTCCTAGAGAGGCCATTGTGTGAAGTTGTGGAGGAGAAGCTTGGATTGCCTTGGAGACCCCAAGATGTTAGAGATGCCAGTTGTGGGATATCTGCCGAGGAAAGCTCCTAGCATGGAGCAGAACCAGCTCAAGAAAAATAAGTATGTTGTAGTCAACGAAGCTGAAAGGAGTTGGAGATCTGCAGAAGAACATTTTGACATCAGACATGGAGATGCAGAGTTTGGACTTTGCCCAGCTGGCTTTTGGTCTTGTTTTGGTCCAGCATTTCCTCACTATGCTCACTTCCCTATATTTTGGAATGGTAATGTATATCCTGTGCCATTATATATTGGAAGTATGTGATCTGTTTTTTGATTTTACAGAGGATTACAGTTAAAAGATTGCCATGCATCTCAGAAGAGACTTTGAACTTTGAACTTTAAAACATTGTTGAGACTGTTATAGACTATGTGAACTTCTGAAGTTGGACTAAATGAATTTTGCATTATGATATGTTTACAAGCTTATGGGGGCCAGGGAATGGACTGTGGTAGTTTGAATGTAATTGGCCCTCATAAGCTTATAGGGAGTGGCATTATAAGGAGGTGTGGTCCTGCTGAAGTAGGTCTGGCCTTGCTGGAGGAAGTAAGTCATTGTGCAGGCAGGCTTTGGGAGTCTCCTATGCTCAAGCTAGGTCTAGTTCAGTTCACTTCCTGTTGCCTGTGGATCAAATGTAGAACTCTCAGTTCTTTTCCCAGCACTATGTCTACCTGCACACAGCCAAGTCCCACCATGATAAAAATGAACTAAATTGCTGAAACTGTAAGTCACCCAATTAAATATTTTCCTTTATAAGAGTTGCCGTGGTAACAGTGTCTCTTTACAGCAATAGAAACCCCAACTAAGACAGGTTTCTTCTATTACATTTACCATGTTTGGTAACAATAGCTTGGAAAGAAGGATCTGGCTCCTAATTCTGCAGAATCTAGTTTTAAACTATAAGCATTTTAACCAATGATACCTTAGTTAGCTTTAAAACAAGAGACTGGATTAAAACAAACTTTTTCCCACCCCAGGAGCCTTCAATGGTATAAGTATTCAATTTTTCTAGATTGCCAAGACTTCACTGTACATTTAAGCAACTTACTAAATTACCACTCTAGTACACTATACAACGTAAAAGTCAAGTTCATATTGCAGAAAAATACCCAAAAAAAACTTGGCCAAGAAAAAAGAAAAAACAAAACAACTACGGGTTGATTTCTGTGGAATAGTTGAAAACTAAATACACATGTGATTAGGTAGCAAGAGAATCCATGGGAGCACCTCTAAGAGTTCCCAATGGTTTTACTGCTGAGAAAGAATTTATTTCAGTTACTGTGATTTCTTACATGTGGTTCTGAAAGAAAAAAAAAAAGATTAATTTACCACTGCCGCCAAAATTAGTGCTTCTGAAATTCTTGGAGTGTAAAGACTTTAAAAGTATGCAATAACATGGGCCATTTCCATGACAAAATTATAAACAGAAGAAAATGAACCTATCATTAACCCATTACATATTATTGCAGATAAATAACATTTCAACCATATTTTTACTTTAAGACACAAAATAACAGGCAGACCTGCAATATACCCATGGATTTGGGGTTGCAATCACTGAACAAACAACAAAATGTATTCTATAGAACAAGAGTCATGGAGCACAGATGGTCTTACACAGTATTTTGGTTTCCTAATTAATAAATCTGGGAAGTACAGCATATCAAGTACTGCTTTGGGAGGTCACAACATGTTAATTAGCATTTTAAAGCTGCTTATCTGAGCTTCTCCATGTGTTAGACTACTCTCTCCCCATTAATCTCACTGGTATTTTTGGACTGAATGAACTAAGGTTTAAGAAATGCTAGACACTGTACTCAAAACACTCCTCTGCTTCTATAGTTTTACTATTCCAGTGAGACCAGTACAGTTTGTTCCTAGTGATAATGAAGTTCTACTGAGGTTTTGATTTGTTACCATAACCTGGCCATTTGCTATAGTACTTGACCAGAGAAATTTGAGAACGTCTGAACACTCAAAGTTGAGGTGGATTTTCACAACTTTCTGCCTACTACAGGGGATAAAATGTAAATAACTCATTGTTTCTTTGTCAAGTATCTTTTAATAGTGAAAAATACACTGAATACTAATGAGGCTACCATTTAAAACTCAACTGTATCTCTATGCTAAAGACACTTTCCTTTAAAAGACAATGCAAAGTGGCAGTCACAATAGTTTTTTTTTTTTGATTGTTTGTTTTGTTTTGTTTTTTGAGACATGATTTCTCTGTGCAGTTTTGGTGCCTGTCCTGGATCTCACTCCTTAGACAAGGCTGGCCTGGAACTCACAGAGATGCGCCTGGCTCTGCCTCCTGAGTGCTGGGATTAAAGGCGTGAGCCACCACCGCCGGGATCACAATAATTTTTATACATCACTGCTACTTCAGATCAGCAAGTGGAAGGACAATTATGGACATAAATGTTAGGAACTCATAATATTAATTCTAACACAACAATTCATTACTTTATGATAGAAATAGTTTGCCCATAAAAAATGTAAGTCCCAGAATATCCTAGAAGCCCTCCAAAATTAAAGCCAAGGTCTTCTAATAAAAGAAGACTCAGTTGCATTTCAAGTTTACTAAAAACTGATTTTTCAAAGTATTTTCATACCAGGTGCTACTAAGAACTTATTAATTCGAAATCTGTAACTCACTGAGGAGTGTGGCATAAGACAGAATTTTAGAAGAACAAAAATTGAGAAAAAAGATTTCACTTCTATTTCCCAAACTATGAGATCTAATCTCAGAGTTTTGTTTTTCAAAGAGAAACTTTTAGGTATCATTAACAGACAGTCTAGCTATCTGTCCCAGGAGACAGAGAAAAATGGATAATTAGAATTAAAACTGAAGTGGTCAAGCTCAAAGTTTTGTAAAACTAGCACTCAGTATTACAAAGGGCAGAAGTGGGTTGAGAACACACACCTCACGCCTGAGGGTGTGTTCTGGAAAGATACCTGCACTGGAAACAGGAGGTCACTGAAACAATCAGTATTAGTAGTCACAGATAAGACAACAGAAAACTGGTTTCATCAAAATCAATTTGCAAAGGCATGCAAGACATGTGACTTAAAGAAGATAGCATACCAGGAGATAAAAGCCCTCAAAAGATCTCATTCTGCCGGGCGGTGGTGGCGCACGCCTTTAATCCCAGCACTCGGGAGGCAGAGCCAGGCGGATCTCTGTGAGTTCAAGGCCAGCCTGGACTACCGAGTGAGTTCCAGGAAAGGCGCAAAGCTACACAGAGAAACCCTGTCTCGAAAAACCAAAAAAAAAAAAAAAAAAAAAAAAAAAAAAAAAAAAAAAAGATCTCATTCTTTTAGTAGCAGGCCTATAGCATTTAAAAGCTAGCCAGACTCTGGAGAACAGCCACTAAACACCAAATGAGCTTACTTACTATGCAACTCCTCCTCCTCATCACTGGAATAAGAAGAGCCAAAAGAAAAGAGAGTTTTAGATTTAAGGAGGAGTGGAGAAACGCTGACGGAAAAGGAGATCCACCTTGTTGGCTTCATCTGCTGCTGAGCTGAGAAGTAGGTTAACAGAAAGACATTAGAGCACGCAAAGGTTATGCCAAGACAAAGAAAGAGGTACCTCCAACCTATGTGGAAACAAGATAATGTTGATGGCCTTAAGGATCCCAGGAAAGGCTATCAAAATTAACAATGTCTGTCTGTCTGCCTGTCTATCTACCTGTCTATCTGGTTTTTTGAGACAGGGTTTCTCTGTGTAGCCCTGGCTGTCTTGGAACTTGCTCTGTAGACCAAGGTGGCCTCGAACTCAGATCTACCTGCCTCTGCCTCCCAAGTGCTGGGATTAAAGTTATATGCCACCACTGCCTGGCTAACGGTATATTTTATTTATATATTCATTTATGAACACAAAAAATTGTAATGCAGTTTAACAAATCATCTAAATATACACACTTCTTATATTTGAAAACAAGGAGCAAACTATTTTTAATGGTCATAATTCATAGCTTGAGTTTTTCTTCTTCATGGTGTATAGACAACATCCAACAGTGATATTGCTCAGGGTTCAGTATTACTGCTCTTCTCACGCATTCCCAAATTTCCTACTTTACTCCTACCTCTTCATCGTGTATGCACATAATATACTAGGGTCTCCTTTCCCTCTAACCTTCAAGGTAGAGCTCTCCTTTCAGGATCAGACTCATTCATCTCTTTGCTCACCTGTGTGTGGGTGGACACTCCACAGGCAGCTAAAACCCAACAAACACAAAAGGGAATACATCTTTTCCTGCTGCCTTGCTCCCCCTCTAGTCCTTCACCAGTCAATTGATATCTAACATCTACTTAAAGACTCAGGGTACCAACCTGGGCACCATCCTTGGATCCTTACAGCACACCTCATTTGGGCTTCTTCAACTTCTCTCCTGAGGTCACTATTCTGAAATAGCTGCACTGTGAACCATGCAGAAGCTTTCTATTGACCTGTAAGATTCTTCTTCCCAACCTTATTTCCTTTGTGGTTGGGCTGAAGCGCTCTAATTAACATGATTCTACTGCCTTCGAGAAGAAACCCTAATCCTTAGTTTAGATTTCCATATACCAATTTCCAGTTTCTTTTGGTCTAAACTTTCTCCAATTCTCAAGGTTTGAGAGTGTTGATTTTGGTTGCTTCATTTACTATTTCCTGTTAGCTTCAACTTGTTCTCTTATCCATAAATAATAAATATAAGCCAAGAAAGAAGCCATCAGTAAGTTCATCCTTCTTCCACCACTGTCTAGTATAGTACACAGTGAAGAGTTGGCATTCAAATATGGAATGAATAAATGGACACATGAATTTTCCTTTTATCAGGCTTTTGGGAATCTTAAGGCCCCAAATCAAATCAGAGAAAATGCCCTGTACCTATATGAAAGCTACACCAACCACAGCAGATTGTGAGGTTGAGCTCCCACCAATGAGGTAAAATGAACTTTTTGCCTCCATGTGCTCGCTTGCCCAGGCAAAGTCACTGTTCTCTTTTGTAAAAGTAATCTGCCTTGCTGAGTTACATTTGCTCTGTTTGCCTGTGTGGCCTCAGGAATATTATTTCCAATAATTTGGGGTTCTTTTTCAACACAATGGACAATGTTCTTGTTTCTAAAACTGCTTACATTACAGTCAGAGAGAAAGAGACCTTGGCACTATTTTGGGTCGTTGTGAACTACACAACTCCATGCTCATTACACAACAGGAAGTACACTAACAGACTTTAATTCACATTAAACCACAGCACATTATCCCTCCTTAACAGCTAAAGTTGAACTGAGGGTAAAGGGCTTCTGTAACAAGAAGTCATTTAGCCATTGCATGTGCTTACAGAAAACAGAAGTTAAACAATCTTAAGAAAAATTTTCTGTAAACTGAGTATGATGATGTGTCCTGTAATCCCAGAACTTGGGAGGTGAAGAGCTTCGTGCATGCTCAACGAGACCTGAACCCTACTGCTGAACAGCAGGCCCAACTGCCTTTAAAATAAAATGCATATGTGTTTGTATTTTTGTTCAGGTGTGTGCACACAGGAAACCAGAAGAGAGTGTCAAGGTCTCCTTGAACCCTCACTTCATGTTTCTTAGCTAGGCTGGAAGGCAGCAAGCTCCAGTACTCTTTGCTTTCTATAGCATGCTAGGGTCACAGGAAAGCACGAGAACATGCCTAGCTTGCTATGTTGGCACAAGGATCCAAATACAGGTGTTCATGATTACAGAGCAAAAGAATCATCCTTTATGCCATCACTCTACTGTGAAAATTTCTAAGATTAAACCTCCAGTTAGTCAAGATATAAGACAGAATCTTTCATTAATGAGGGACAGCTACGTTAGTCTCCAGTTCTTTTGTATTAAATTGTAAGAGGACACTGAAAAAATACCATAGACATCAGAAGCTTGTGTTTAGACTCCATAATAGCTGGCCTTGTAGTGAAGAACAGGTATATTACTCTCTTTTAGATTTAATTTTTGCATCATGATTTCACACTGTAATTACTCTTTCAAAACAGATTTTAAAACAGGTTCCTTGAGCTAGACAGGCAGATCAGTGGTTAAGAGCAATGGCTACTCTTCCAGAGGACCTGGGTTTAATTCCCAGCATTCACATGATAACTCACAACTATCTGTAACTTCTGTTCCAGAGGAGTCAATGACCTCTTCTAGACTCTGTGGGTATGGCACACATGTGATGCACAGACAGATACAAGCAAAACACCTACACACATAAAATAAAATAAAATAAAATAAAATAAACAAATTTTAATAATAATAAAAAAGGAGGTTTCTTAAGAAAGAAGTTGTGACAAACATTTGTACAATTAAAATATGTTTGTAAGCATTTTTATTCACAAATGCCTTGTGTTTATAGATTCCAGCTGCCAATATACCCCTGACAGTCAACTGACCTGCATCTGCACACAGTTTTATAGTTACTTTCAGACTTAATCCTCTTGTACTTGCTTAAGTAAAAATGTCCTTCAGTTTTGTATCCTGAGTTTGACATTTCTGAGTGCTCAGACTGTATTGTCTTCTGTCAAGTTTAGGAGAGACAAGATCACTTGAGAAATATTTCCAGATTTAAGGAGCCTACTGTGATATAAATACTCATTTCAGTATCTGTTCTTGGACAGGATCCTGGGCCCAGGAAAAGGTGAGAAAAATGGAACTGTGTCTATATTAGGTCAATTTGACTAGGTTTAACCTCCTGATTCAGATAATTATGTTACTATAAGAAAGAGTATCTGCTTTTAAAAAACATTAAATGAGTTAGAGGTAAAAAAACACTACTCTCTGAAGGGGAGTGATGAAGGAGTATTCTGGAAAAATAGGAATTATAGTAACATCTGGGGATAGGAGGGAAGAATACACAAATTCTTTACACTAATTTTTTGTTTGTTTTGTTTTTGTTTTTTTGGGACAGGATTTCTCTATGTAGCCCTGGTTGTCCTGGAACTGACTTTGTAGACTAGGCTGGCCTCACAAGAGATCCGCCTGCCTCTGCCTCCCAAGGTACTGGGCCACTACTGACCAGCTTCTTTACATTATTTTTGCCACGGATTTTTCTTGCCATGGATTTTTTCCAGTGAGAGTCATTTGCATCCATTTTCCAAGTATGAAATTATTTCAAAGCCCTTTTAAAAAATGGTATTATATTTATACCCCACAATATAATGAATGCAATGCATGTATCAAAGAGATTTTTTCTTAGCAAGAGGAAGAGCTGAAAGCTGATCTCTACATTAGCATTTCTGTTGAGTATGAAGTCAGTTAGTCAAAAGCAGCAGATGAAATTTGAAAGTTAGTAAGATCCCAAAGTAAGAAAAATGATAGGAAAAGTGGTTAAGATATATTTATTTTTTAAAAAAGTAGTATACTCACTGTCCAATCCAGGATGACTAATTGTCATTAATGAGATGGATTTTGTCAATGGAGAAGAAATGGCTGATGTACAGTAATTAAATCCCTGTTGTTTAGACCTGTGAGATGTCTACAAAATAAAAAAATAAAAAAATGAAGAATGGGTTCTAAGTACATGTTCATCTATTTAGACATGTGTAGAATTCACACTGACCCAACCTGGTGAGGGGAGACTTGGAATCCAGTCTGCTTCTTCCGCTTAACAGTTAGTTACTCAGCTTTTCTAAGCCTGCCTTTTTTCACCCGAAACTGATAAGTATTCATCATTCACAGTGGTTTTCCATCCCTCAGAGCATCTAACAATGTTTCAAATTGAGTAAGTGAGCAGTAGGTATCTGCTGGGCACACAATCCGGTAACTTCACCGGAAGTAATAGACTATACAGAGTACTGCTCCTTTGAAAAAAATCAAGACATCTTCACAGACATACAGTAATCTGATTATCAGGAGTTGGAAACTGGGATGTGAGTAGAAAGCATTTCAAGAGCATTAGCAAAGCAGCAATGCATTTGGGAAGGAACTAAATCTCTTTCACTTCTTCTTTGATTCCACACGAACACAGGGTGACTGCAATTTAGTACGTAACTTCCTCGGCAGCAGCGTTACTGGCAATTTAAAGCCACAGCGTTTTAAGAGCTGTGGAGACCAAGCAGAAGCAGAGGCTCCTTTAACACCCCTGAAGGAATCATTACTTCTGGTGATAAGGGACCCATACCTCTTTTTCTAATCCTCTTACAAGATGAAATCTGCCTCTTCCTGACTCGAATGCCTGGAAAGAGAGACACTGAACATCTATTCCTAGCATGCACTCACTCAGTCAGGCCAAAGACTTCTGATTATTTAGAGCTTGTTCCATGTGTAACCATGGAAGCTGAGGCAAACAGTTGCTATGTTTCAAATACAACTGTGAGGCTTGAAAAATGACCTCAGCGAACAGCAGTGAATTTCAAGAGGAAGTTGGCTGCAGGCAACTTGTCTAGATCAGAGAGATACATGCAGCACAACACCCACACTGAGGTTGTGCACAAGAGGAACTGAAGGTAAGATGAGAGTTCTAGGAAGACTATGCATAGCACAGTACAACACAGCACAGCACAAAAATGCTGACGTTCATCTAGAAAGATTCAATCAGAAAGATAGCAGTGGTAATAAGTATCATTTACTAAAAGACAGGGTCATCTGTCAAATTTCTGGAAATAATTTGTCTCAGAAAAGGTCACACAAACAGTTTTAAAAAAATTAAAATATTCTCATTAAAATCTGTCTACTTCTAAGTCATAGAAAGAAGTAATAAGACCAACAGTCACCAAGTCTGAATTTGTACTGTTCAGCTAATGTTATGTGACATCAGACAACTCACTTATAGGGGCTTGAGGCCCTCACAGTTAAGGAAGGGGATCAACAAGCATTTCCTGAACAGTACAGTTGAGACAAAGAACATGTTTTCTCTAGGAAATAAACTTAGGGCATGCATGCACTTTCAAATTGATAAATGTAATAATGACATACAATACACTTTAAAACTCAATTTACAATGAGCTGGTAAGAGAACAATATAGACAGATAAAGGAAGCTGCATGTCCTGAATACTTTCCCAATCCTAAAGCATTTGTTGTGATAGAATATTTAAATCTGTGTATATTAATGTATTCTTTCTTGAAGATAATATATATATATATATGTATATTTTTGTATAGAGTGTTTTTTTTCTGAATATATGTTGTACATCATACTCATGTCTGGTGCCTCTGGAGGTTAGAAGGCACTAGACCCTTGGAAATGAAGTTATGGATGGCTGTAAGCCACTATATGTGAGAGCCAGGAACCAAATGCCAGTCCCCTATAAGAGCAGTAAGTGTTCTTAACCACTGAACCATCTCTCCAGTCTGATTAATGTATTCTTAAATATTCAGGTTTAGTGATAAAAGCCATGTTATTGCTAGACTTGAAGATATCATTTAATAGGTAAGTAATCACAGCTCTAGCTTTATACTAATACTAATAAAAAGCATAAACAATGAGATCCTATTTGGAGGTAATGTTCCACTATCACCCCCATTAGCAATATATACCTATTTTAGCCTTACCTGCTGATCAAACATCCTATGATGATGTCTCTGGTCCGGCTCCAGATGTTCTTCTGAAAGTGACATCAGAGAATCCCTCTGTTCCTCACCACTGAAAGAGTTTCTGAGCTGGCTGGAGTTTGCAGAGCTCATTTCTAGAGATGAGGATGGCTTATTTCCACCACCAGCTTCTCCTGTCAAGCCTTCCAGACTGAAACTGAACACAAAGCACACGAGTTCATTCATTGTTTGTAGGTCTCAGAATGGGAGGAAACAAAATCCCTCTAATCCTACTCAAAATGTCTAAAGGACACAGAGCAGATGAGCATCACTCACCTTCCCCCCCAGTGGTCTTGGATGCTGAGAAAGAACACCAGACACGTTTACTTCCCTACCTCATTATTCAACTTATCTACATGGTGAACCAGATATCATCATTTTCTCAGCTGTTTTTCAACATATATATGTATATATGTATGGCCTTTTATTGATGTGATCAAATTAATCTTTCCAGACTCTAACTCATCTAATGTCAAATGTCACAAAGCACAATCATAAGGAGCTTTGAGAATGAAAAGTGAGTGACATGGCATGGACGATTATAAAGCTTTACATTCAATTATATTTTGGTTGACAACTTTCTGGGTACACTTCTAACCAGAAAACCCTGGTTTCACTAATGAGCAATACCACCTGTGCACACCTGGCCAGATAGTTCCTGATGATGGCTTAGTGAGAATCATCAGCTGCAGATAGGCACATAAAACACAGGAGCATAAATGCTGAAAAAAGCAAACAGGGTGTGGAATTTTAAAGGGGAGATAGGTCTGAGGTACAGATTTTGTGGTTACTTTCTGAAAGTGAGAGGCTGAAGAGGAAGGCTAGCTGCCTACCCTCTTTGGAGCCACTAACTAGAATGCACACATGTGCTGTAACTACAGAGGGAACTTCTCTGAAAGAAGAATACAGTTGCAGCTAACTGTGTTCTCAGTTAATCAGCTGGAACTGTATCTGGATGTATACTGAAGCTATATAGTTATTTCTGTTCTGGGAAAACTATACAGTTCGTTGCTACAATTAAGTTCATATATTCCAGCCCCAAAGGGCTTTTCTTCATAAATTACTTATGAACTGAAGCCATATGTCTCTATTTTCTCTAGTGGGTAAACTATTAACAAATTTGTTGTTCTTACTTCAATATGACAAGAGAAGTCATAATGAACTGCAACCAACTGTCTCTGCAGAACCCATTTTTAACACCAGGCATAAGAAGAAAGTTTAGACAAGTAAAGAAATTTAGTTTTCCATTGTGAATTATCTGAAAAGCCTGAGAAAACTTCATCTCTGCTTACCACAAAACTTAATTCTGAAAATATTTTAATAATTAAATCTGGCTGCTTAACTCAAAGACAAATATGAAATGATGAGGCATCTAAATTCAGAACTTGAATGTAGGACTTGAAAGTATAATAAAAACCAGGGTCTATTAGCTGTCTTTTCTTAAGAATCTGGGAACTTGGAAAGACCAAAGCAAAGACAAGGGCTTCCAGCATAGACACAGGGTTCATGCAGAAAACACAGCCATCTATTGCTACTTGAGACAAACGATGCAGCATTGGGTACTGTTCCTAGGCCACACTCCTGCAACTGGGTTAGTAGCATCCATAGTGAAGGCAGCGGTATACTATGCTCACAGATATCACAGGCTGCCCATATGCATTCCAGCCACAGAGAAGCCAGCTACAGCCCAAGGCCAGAAGTCTTACTTTACGGTTCCTGGTTTGGTGGCTGGACATGTAATACTATACCTTCTGAAATTAAAGTCAGCATTCAGAGCAGCCGAGTACTGCACACCAGAGGGACACCAGCTCATACTGGAGATGACATCAAAGGCAGAAACAAGAAATGGAGGGAGAAAAGAGGAAACAGGTTTGGGTTATTCAGTTTAAAAAGAAAGGATATAGAGATGGGCTTATGTAATCATTTATAAAAAAAAATAGATATGCAACACTGAGAATTTAGGAAAGGACTAGAAAAAGAACCACAGGAATTTAATATTGTTCAGTTGATGTCCATTCAGACACTGTTTTAGGAAAGGTCATGTGTGCTCCTTATGGGATGACTACTCTAACTGAAACTAAAGAATTTCTTCAACTAATCCCTTGGCAAAAACTGCAGCCCACTCATGGCTTCCTCTGCAGACATTCCCAGAGAGGTGTTCTAAAACCTACTGTTGTGGCCAAGTGTCTCTCTGTATTCATCATTGCTCCCATATCCCTCGACTCAGGACAGTCACTCCTGGGCCTGAATTGAAAGAAAATGCTACAAACAGCTCAGAGGTCTCACTGAGAAAGCAGTGCTTTTTTCCATATGTTCCCGTTAAGGATCCAGACAAGCCAGGCAACATCTTATACAATAGTCAATTCATATTTCTTCTTTAGAAGCTATTCATTAGGCCTTTCTGCTTAAAATGAGGCAACTACAATAAAGGCCATAGCTTCCTTACAGTTTTAAACTGATAAGCAGATTTATTTTTCTTAGAGTTTTATGATATTAATATGGAAATGCCTTTATTTTCAATTTTGTATCCATTTTCCCCAAGATTAAAAAAACATTCATTTGAGCAGTTGCTTCCTTGTTTATCCTATGCAATAGAGCAGGGGAGGAAAATCTAGGGTGGAAAGGTTGAAACAAATTATATAATAGTCACTTTCTGACTAGAACTACATCAAAAGGTCAGGATCTTTGCTTGCTTGCTTACTTGTTTAGTTACTTGAGACACATCCCCAAGGTGTGGTCCTAGGTAAGAATTTTTGACTAACAAGTACTATCACCTAAAAAAATACTGCTTTGGGGGGCCTTGAAATTCTAAGTGCTATGTTTTTGTCTTACTGACAATAACAAAGACGACAAGGAGTTCCTGACAACAGTTAAAGCATTGCTGCAGACAGCAGAACCATTCGGTGGTCTCAGTCTCCAAGACCTCCAACAACTCTGCTTGGTGGACAAGCCTTGAGACGAGGAAAATGGTGGGATGGATGCTATCTATGACAGTTTCCTCTACAGCTGTTCCAAATGGTATAAAAAATTTCAAATCTGATTAAATAACAGTGTATGGCTCACAAAAGGGAAAAGAAAAATACACAGTTTGAGGCATCTCTCATCTGGGAAGAAGGGTTAGACTGACTCAAACTTACTTGTGTAAACAGAAGTAAAACATAATTTACAAATATTTATAAGGCTCAGAAGTCCATTCTTTGAAGTTATTAATTTAATTTTCAAATTTCCAATTGAATTACCTAAGTATCTGATTTCATTTCTTTTCTTTCTTTTTTTCTTTTCTTTTCCTTTTTTTCTTTTTTTTTTTTTTTTTGAGACAAGGTTTCTCTGTAAAGTCCTGACTGTCCTGGAACTCGCTCTGTAGACCAGGCTGTCCTTGAACTCAGAGATCTGTCTGCTTCTGCCTTCTGAGTGCTGGGATTAAAGGCCCGTGCCACCATGCTCAACTGTGATTTCTTATTAAAAAATAGAAAATCATTAACTCAATATCCATTGCCAAATCATTCTTAAAAAGAATAATCATCTTTTTGTAGAGTTTTCAATATCTCCTTTGCTCTGAGACTATGATAATGCTGTAGAAAACATTTAAAGTACAGAACAGGACGAACAAAGACCCATCCAAGCATCACTGGATCTGGCAAGCTGCAATTGGTCTAAGCCTTCACCGACTCCTGGCATGATTAAAGTGTATTTCGGAGAGCCTCCCAAATCATAAGGTTCTCTGGCTTTGAAGTTTAGGAGGTACAGTTTTTTATTTTGTTCTGTTTTTGAGAACAACTTTCTTCTTTAATACTTGTTGGAATATTTCAATTTTATAAATTTTAAAACTATGAATCATGCTCTTTCTACAAAAATAGTTTTCACTTAGGCTAAACTGTAAAGTCAAGTAGTGGATCTGGTGTGTACAGCTCGGGCTGCAGGCAGCAACCTGTCGTCCCTTACCATGTAATCTAGTGCATGCTTCAGGTAGCTCATGATGAAGAGCTTTCCCAGAGACAGCAACAAACACATTGCTACAAGTTTGACACACTGTCTATTGAAAAAGGCAGTGAACGACCTGCCTGCCTGAAGAGTCTAACTGACAGCATGACCATTTAGATTCATGAAAATGTTAGAATTTAAGATCAAAACTTCCCTAAAATATGGAATTAAAGGAATATACATTTGAAAAATCATAGGAAAAAAAGTAGGAAGAGTATTATTTTGCCTTTCTCACAAATATTCTGCAAATAGATAAAAGTATCTTTGCAAATGTCTCTTTATATGAGAAATACAATAAAAGAATCACACTTTCATGATTTCTAAATGATTTTTGTAAACAATAGAAGAAAAGTCAGTAATAGCTCTACACAATAAAAGTCTTTAAAACATGAGGTAACTGAGTATGTATAATTAGAAATTAGTTCTTAGCTTATAAATATTACCTTCACTTTTTACTTGATAAATAATAATTAAGCAATTCAAAAAAGGTATAAGCTTATGCCAGATTGCTTTCTGAAAATACTCTGTCAACAATGGAATGGAAACTACCAGGTCACCAACTAATAAAAATCTTTCTTCATATTATTCAAGAATGTCCTGGAAATATTTTAGAACCTATGCATGAGTGCACACAAATATATTTCTGGCTATTCTCTTTCTTTTCTGGATACAGAGGGAAGTATCTCCCAAGGTCCACTAGTTAGATAGAACATGAAAACAAAACAAAGAACAAACAAACAAAACGAGACAAAGCCATCTGAGCCAGTAAGTGGGTGTGCACATTATAAATTTAGAACCAGAAAAAGACTTTAGACTAAAAAAACTATTTCCTATCAGGTGGACACAGCAACTAAGAAGCAGCTATATTTTATTTGCCTAAACCAGAAATGTAACGTTTAAAAACGTTGTCCAACGTAACCAGAATGAGATGCTTGTTAGTACACACTCAGAGATGACATGGTTAGTTCAATTTAGTGAACTCTGTACCTTCTCCTATGAATGGGAGGTCTCCTGACAACATCCCCAAGAACTTGCATTGAACTGAAAATGAATGATGGAAGAGGTCAATAATGGAGGTGAACCACAACGATACACAAATGCACAAAACATAGAGATCACACCTTGAAGAAACATATTCCCCAAAGACCAACAGTACAGGAGGGAAGAGACCAAAAGAATGAAATGACAAAAATATCAGAACCCCAAACACCTGACAAAAAGGTAGCCTCTGTTCCCTCTGTACTCCAAGGAGTTAATTGGATGACAAATTATGAAGATTAGTGTCAGTTATAGAAGTAAATGGGCCAGAGAAAAGTGCCATTTAAAACATTAAAAGGGGTTTCCCTTCAAACTTTAAAATTCAGGTAACAAAATATACAAGTAATAATATATGAATTAGCCAAACTATTAGGGTGATAAAACCTAACCGCTATTCCATTACATCTCAAAGTACTAAGACAGTACTAGATAATCCTTTACATTAAGTTTAAATGGGCATGATATACAGGCTAAAAATACAAATAGGTAACAAGTCTAAGATCACCATGTAATTTTGGGCAAGTCATTAAATCTGGCTTTAACTTCTTCACCTGAGCTACCTGATACAAATATATACAGCTCTGAAATCAGTCATTACAAACAGATCTATACTGAGTTATGTAGGAAAATAACTGTATTACTGTATTTATACAGTAATTCCCATTCCCTGACCAGTTCTTTATCATTTAAGACAAAGACATCCTACCAAGAAGTTACTCAGGCTTCAGGGAGTAATTTCTGCCTGCAAGATCATTCCCGATGTATGTATCAATGTTTTAAAAGAAAACAGCATGTATACTGGGAAGGAAAGTATTTGGAAATTAGTTTTTATATAACCTGAGATTCCAAAAGGATATAAACACAATACAGCAAGTTAAGGCACTGCTTCTTATTTTAGACTACTACCCTAATACAATGGAAGAATACGGAGTTGTCCAAAGACTTGGCTGAGATTAGAAACCTAGATTCTACTGTAGATGATGTAAAGTGTCTGCAACAGTCCTCTGCAACTATGGAAAAATAACACTTGAATCATGGAGAAGATTAAAAACCAATGTAAGACAATTTGTTATGAAGAGTTTGAAAAAAACTGGCAAACCAGTATAGACTTTGATTCTGAGCTCAGCGAGGGCAGGGATTAATACCTTGTTTACCTTTATTTCTCCAGAACCTAGGATACTGCCAGACATAAAAAGAATGCCCAATGTGTTTTGGCTGATTAAAAGAATAAACACAGGTCTGGAAAAATGGCTCAGTAGTTAACAGTACTATGTATTCTTCCAGAGGACCTGGTTTTGATTCCCAGCACCTATACTGTGGCTTACAACTGTCTGTAACTCCACTTCTAGAGGATATGATGCTCTCTTCTGGCCTCCTTGTGCACCATGAACACACAGTAAAACAAATTAAAAGAATAAATGAAGATCTGAGTATATGGTGGTGCATGCCTGTTATCTTAACACTTGTGTGGTAGAAGCCGATCAGGAGGCCAAGCCTGGCTTTCATAGTGACACTCAGGCCGGCCTTGGCTACATGAGACTCTGTCTCAAAACAAAACAAAACATATCTGACAACTGTGATTAAGATTACATGTACTTACAGCCACAATACAAAGAGGGGAAAACCCCCAAATGATTGTGTTATCTATAACAATTGTTTTAAAGCAACTGTCAGTAGCTGAGTTGGTAGCTCCTGTCTGCATCCTCAGAAATTCAAAGACTAAGCTAGGGAGAACGGTCTGGCGTTAACGGTTAGCTTGTACTAAACAATAAGTTCCACATCAGCTAGAGCTATAGAGCAAGACCCTATTTCAAAAATCAGTCAAAATCAAGCAACACCCCCTTTTCCTGGCTGAGAGCATCTTTTTAGGCAAGTAAAGTGGCCCTGGGGCAAGCACACCTGTAACCTGTTAGATGCTGAAGCATTTGGTCTGAAGATTAAAGTCAGAGGTCAGAAGCCAAGCCAACTTCTTACAGACTGCTGCCAAACTGAAGGACAAAAGCTGGGTAATACTTTGTAAATATTCCCCAAACTGTATGACATACAGGAAAATACCAACAATTTCAATGTATGTCATGAGTCCTGTGTCCTCTTGAGAATTACACATTGATAATTTAGACATGATCAAATTTCTGTATCAGAAACATATGGCTGTAATCCTCAGGAAACACCAGACCACTCAGATGTGTTGAGACTGTAAGATTTCATATTACTTAATAAATAGAATTCTCTCTTCCATATTTATGAACTTCACTGGCTGATTAATCTGGTAAGAATATGCCTTAGCATTTACTAAATATTCACTATATAACAGTAAGGTTTATGTTATCACAGTTGTATTGAAAGGAAAGCTTACATTGCTCAAGTGGCTGCCCAGGGCAGAGTCAGAACACACATCTGCCACACATCTGCCTGGTCTCAAAGCCTGGGTTATCTTTTTTTGATAACCCAGCACATTTTTTTTTCTTTAACCAGTAACAATGCTACATCAGACACTTCTCAAGAGAGAATACACACTGAGTTATGAAATGCATAGCTCCCATCTTACCTCCGCTGGTTCATATCTGCATCGCTGGCTGCATTCTTCCCAGGACCCCAGCTATGTCTCCGGAAAGGGGAAAGAGAACGCATGGAGTTCCTCAGAAAGGAGCAATTTGCAGGCACTTCAGTGATGCTGTCCATTTCCTCCTCTTCCATTTCACCAGGGCCAATGGGCTCACTCTCACTCTCTCGACGCTCAGGTCCCACTCCATGGCTAAGAAAGCCATCAGAGCGTTGATGATTTCTGGACCTACTTAACTTTGACGTCTGAGGAAGGGACACATCACTGCCATGAGAAGAATGTCGGTCCAGGGAAGCTGTGTCATCTGTAGAGGAACTGGATCCGGTGGTATCACAAAGCAACTGCTCTTCCTCAGGCTGTAATAGAGAGAGCACACAGGGTTACAACCAACAGAACCAAGAAGACATCCTGTTCTGACAGACCACGCCAATGCTTCAGAGTTGACTGGACACAGGCAAGATCAATAAGACTTCAAGCTGATCTTTCTTTTCTTAAATCCATGACTGCAGTTAGATTATAAGGCTTTCAACAAGGAATGTTTTAGATATAACTGTCATTTTATTAAAGGTACTAGACTATATAGAAGACACATGAACTTTTCTTTTTAACGGAGAAAAAAACAATTCTTAGTTTAGTTCTTTCAACCCACCATCAACTGAAGTGAAGAAAACCATTAGTCTCTAGGATTTCTGCTATATGAAACTCTTAAGTTCTTATCATACTAGTTTTTTTTTAGAAGGTCTAACTGAAACAAGTCAGCCAGTACAGCTACAATAAGGCAGAGAATTTACTATTCCAAAGTCAAGTACAACTGTTGTTTACTTTTGAAAACTGCCGAATAGTTTTAATTCCACCAAAAGCCTGTCACAAGAGCATAATAGAAGAATGCTACTGCTTCTCACTTTACTGAGAACTGGTTGAGTGTTCTGAAGCCAAGTCACATAAAATCATCCTGATAATAAGGTGTTTAATAAGGTGACAATGCTCCTTTCCTGGCTAAACTCTAGTACCTAAGAGGAATTATGCAAATCTTGTCTTAGTAGCTTGACATCCCCTACTTATTGAGAGGCATCAAGTGCACAGGATGATGAGTGAAGGAAAGACTAACTCCATTTCATATTCTACAAAAGACCAAAAGGCTATTTTGGCTTTTCACTAGACAAGGAGCAGGAAATAGGTAAAGGCATGCAGAATGACACTCCCCCCCCCCCCCCCTTCACAGTACACCTTAATCAAGACATTCGGTGACATTAAAGAAAACCTTTAAAACAGGCTTTCACTGTAAAGCCCTGGCTGTCACCATAAACTCACAGAGAATGTCGTGCCTCCTGAGTACTGGGATTAAAGGTGTGTGACACTGAGCCCCTAGACTTCGGTGCAGTGTTCTAATAAGACTAACTGAAAGAGAAGTAACTCCTCTAAACTGTTCTTTAACTTCCCCAAGTATGCCACGGCACACACCCCCATACACAGACACAGTAATTGAATAACAAAATGCAGTAAAAAGGTGAAGACGTGATTTTTAAGAGAAAACTCTTAAAGAGGTTAAAGCTCACAAGAACTAATCAGTCCTTTCAGCACTGGAGTGGAAAACAGCCCTGGCCTTGGAGTCTTTTTAAAGCCTATACAACACTTTGAACCCAAAGCACACTACCACCTGTGAAAGGCACCTTTATACACTGGGGGTAAGCTTCAGCTTACCTTCACTCTGAAAAGTTCAATTTCCTAGCGTGTTTTTTAAACAGTGTGAGATGAATGGAGAGAAAAGACACTGAGAGGTGAGAAAACTTGAGTCCCAGAGCACTGACCAGTGAGCAGCAAATCAAGACCCAAATCCAAGTTATTATCCTACTGTGTTATTTCAGTTGCCTTTTAAAAAACCCTGTGAGAACGAGATCTTGATGTCAGAACCCAAGAGTCCCTTCACTGGTTCAAGAGGCGAAATAAAACTACCTCATCGGGTAAATTTTAATGGGCAAGAGGTATTATTTTAAAATAAAATTATTGGTGGAACATAATTGTGTACAACCCGTAATCCCAGCACTTGGAAGGTAAAGCAGGAAGATCAGGAATTTCAGGACAGCCTGAGTTAAAACACTAAGAAGAAACATTGCAGGAAACAACAGTTCTGAGTTAAAGCTTATTCTTTACAAGACAGCTGTTCCCAGTATGGAAATGACTCCCGGTCAGAATAACAGGTACTTTTCCACTTGGTACCTTGTCTGAAAACGACATTGATTAAAGATATAAAATAGTCCCGTCCACGGTAGTTTTTTGTGTGTGCGCGCACGTGCATGCTGGGAACTGAATTTAGGGCCTTACATATGCTGGGCCTGAATTGTACCACTGAATTATATTCCCAGCCTCTAATCCAAAACTCTTAAGTCAAACTCTTAAAAAATGTATCTATCTTTTGGTACAAATTAAAACAAAATGAGGCCGGGCGGTGGTGGCGCACGCCTTTAATCCCAGCACTCGGGAGGCAGAGCCAGGCGGATCTCTGTGAGTTCGAGGCCAGCCTGGGCTACCAAGTGAGTTCCAGAAAAGGCGCAAAGCTACACAGAGAAACCCTGTCTCGAAAAACCAAAAAAAAAAAAAAAAAAAAAAAAAAAAAAATGAGAAAAAATTGTGACTTGTTCATACACATATCCTCATCTCTCTTTTTAAAACTATTTTTATTTTATGTATACTAGTGTCTTGCCTAAATGTATGTCTGTATACCACATGCATGCCTGGTGCCCATGGGAGACAGAATAGGGCACCAGATCCCCTGGGACTAGAGTTAAAGATGGTTGTGAGCCACCATATGGGTGTTAGGAATCAAACCCAGGTCCTCTGGAAGATCTGTCAATGCTCCTAAGGGCTGAGCCATCTCTCTAGCTCCTTTTCAAAAAGGCAAAAATCTGACAAGACTATATTCTTAACACACTCTGTGAAATTCCTGATGTTTACTTATCCTAACTTAGCTCTCACTGAGACATGCCAAGGAGTCTTCCCAGTAACTACTTGATGTCTTTAGTCTTGCACTCGTGGTAAGAGTAAGGGTCACACAGTACCCTATTCTTATACTAGAGTATCTTTACTGAATTACTCCATTCTAATGAGTCTGTGGTCATTACTTAGAGGAAAAACAGGACACCACCCATAAACTGACACTAAGCTCAATTATTATATACTAAGGCTAATAATAGTTTAATTTTGGAGTTAATCTAAAGAAAGCTTTAAAATACTTTCCTCCAAGACTTTTATTCCCAGTTTTACTGAGCTCTTATATTATTTCTGTCCTACAGAAAATTTTGAGTGGGATGGTGAGACAACTCAGCAGGAAAAGGCACATTTGGCCAGTAGTGATGACCTGAGTTAGAAGGACAGAAGGACAGAACTGGCTCTCCACGTTCTCCTCTCACCTCTCCACAAGCACATGGCATGGACATGCACACCCACACTCAAAATAAGAAAGTAACTAAATGTAAATAAAATAAAAAGAATGAAGAAAATCGTGAGTGCCCTAACCAGAAGTCGGTTTCATACATAGTTATATATAGTTATGTATTTTCTAAGGTAGTCATATTTACCTCAACAGAGGCATGACATTTAGCCATGCTGTTCTATCTAATAAGAATGCTGCCTCCTCTTTCTCTTAAGACAGGATCTCCCTGTGTGGCCCAGGGCTGACTCTGGATTCCAGATCCTCTGACCTAAGCCTCCTGGATACTGGCATGAGGACATGACCTCTCAGTATTCCAGACATACATTCATGGTCTTTGGAGCTACAGTGTTACTTGAAGGCTTATGGAAAGGCACTGTCTTAAGTCATAGATGATAGAGAGTATAAGAAAGACAAGGTTTTTAGAACTTTGAATTCTTTTCAAAATAAAATTCTAGTTCCTAGATCTAAGATATAAAATCTTAGAGATACATAAAATAAGATGTAAAAACTATTCCTTTCACTATTTTACACCTCATCCCCACTGTATTTCTATTTGTATATTAGAAGGGAGAATCAGAAACCATTTTTAACCTCTAACAAGATGTTCCAAGCCTAAAATCTGAAGTCTTGTTTAAAAGCTCTTTAGTATGTCAGTTTTTCTTTAAAGAGATCATGGATCCTAAAATACTTGCCTAGAGCAGCAGTTCTCAACCTGTAGGTTGCAACCCCTTTGGGTTCACAGGGGTCACATATCAGGTATTTACATTATAATTCATAACAGTAGCAACATTACAGTAATGAAGTAGCAACAGAATCATTTTAAGGTCGGCGGTCACAACATGAGGAACTGTATAAAAGTGTCACAGCATAGAGGAATGGGGTACCATGCATCAATTCATGATACTTGACTTATGTAGAATAAAAACTAGTTATTTTGGGTCTCAATGTAATTCAAGCCCTTTTCCCTATCCCTCTGCATCAAATGTTAAGAATAAAGAGAGAAGAGTAGAAGGGAAGAGTAGAAGGGACTGAGAAAGTACATGAAAGAGGTGCATGGTAAAAAGGAAAAATGTTGGAAAAACAGAGACTGCGTCTACATCTGAGGCTGACAAATAAATCATTTCTTTCAGGAGTTTTTGCTCATCTTTTGCTCATCCATCCTGAATGCAGGATTGGGAAACACACACACACACACCTAGCTCTACCACCATCTTTTCCCTTAGACTTTGTATACTACTGAAAATCTGCAAAAACAATCAGGGTAGCTAAAGTCCCTACCAATACTCTAACGAGTGTGGCTGCTCTGTACAAGCAATGACCCTAAATAGACAGCTCTACTTGAGGGGAGTAGCTGGGTCACAAAACGGTCCAAAGACCCTGTTTTGCTTAAATTAATGGAAAGGCCTAAATAAAATCCTAAATAAAATGACATTATACATATAAAAATCTTAGAAACTATTACTACTATTAAACAATTATGATATAAATTTGAACAATAATAGGTACTTACCTCGTGAGGTTTTATTTTTCATTTTAAATTTTTTATAAGTTCCTTGGTAGTTTTGTACGGCATATTTTTCATGTGAGGCTTTAAGTGATTTAGATATATTATCCTTTTTAATCCTTCCTATTATTTGATTTAGTAAATATTCCTATTTCCATTCTAGAGGTGAGAAAATAGGTTAACTCAAGACTCTTTTTTTTTTTTTTTTTTGCTAGTCAGCTCGAAGAGCCAGGTGCGTCCAGCCTACTTTTTAAGCTCTTTATATGGTTCTCAAAACAGCTAGAATTGAATCCTCCTGAATAAACCACAAAGCTGTTGTTAAAGTGACAAACAGAATACTGAGACACATCTTAATACTGAAAATAAAAGCCCAAAACTATAAATCTTTAAAACAAAACATCGACACAGACACAGAAAGCAAACAGGCAAATACACAAAGCAGTCAGCTGAACAAGAGTCTGTTAAATTATTCCTCTTCAGATTAGCCATTTGAGCTAACCAAGATACTTTCATGTAAGTGAATAGGCAAGTGATATAAGAGAAAATATTTGCAAATCATGAATCTAACAAAGGAGCAGTATCCAGGATATATATCATCCATTCCTCTCTAACAACAAATAATCCAATTATTTTAATGGGCAAAGATATGAACAGACACTCTATACAGGAAGACACATGAGTTGCCAATGGACATGTGAAAATCTGTTTAATATCACCAGTTGTCAGGAAATACAAATCAAAACCATAATGAGATAACACTGCATGGATACCAGAAACGTTAATATTAAAACAACTGTGTTTGTTACTAAGGATGTAGAGTAACTGGGATTCTCAACACGAATGAGAACAATAGAGATGGCCAGTTTCTTGTCTGACTAAGAATTCCACTCCCAGGGTTGTACAGAATACTGATTCCTCAGATGACTTTCTGAATCAGAGAAAAAAACATCTTTTGTGTTTCTTCTGGAGGGCTGGATGGTCACTGAAAAGGGTGTCATGTTAGAAAACTTTCCATAGTTATGCTTATAGCCTATATGTTCATGCTGCTTCAGGTTACAAAGGTGGAGGATGTATTCACCAAAAGTAACTGAATTCTCAGGATTTTATATAAATTATACATATAAAATGTACAACCCCAATCTCTCAACCACAGAAAAACACTGCTTCTAAGAATTTACACCTGATGTGTATGAACACACCTGTAATGTGTTTTGAACTGTATCATCAAATTTAGGCAGACTGGTGGTGAACAGAAGCACAGCTATGTACTAATAAACAATAAAAAAATGACAGAAGCTGGAAGGTGAGTACAGGGGTGCTCCCTGCTATATTCAACAGTTCTATTTTTTTCTGTGTTTTTACAATATAATATTTAGGGGAAATGCCTTTCTCTTAGAAAAGTTATAAATTCTATGTATGTATCTACAGAAAGATAAACATTACTAACCACAAGATACACAAAAACTGTCACACATTTTACATATTGATACTACACCCGAAGGAATCATGTTTGATACTGCCAAACAAACAGCCCTTCACTTATTCAACAAGTATTTATTATTATTTATTTTATACATAAGACATACAACTATACTACTATCTAGAGAAACCACAGCTCACATTTTAAACACTCATCACATGCCCCAAATCACATTATCTTTTTATGTGGAGCATTCTATCTAAGAATCTTAAGTCCTGGATCAGAGTGATGTATACCAACTATATTTTCTCAGCTCGTGCCAGAAAGAATCCCAGGATTTCATCTCACTTTAAAAACAAAGTATAAGTTTTATGCTGCTCATCTAAAACCAGAAGCCAGCAAATATTTGTAAGAATCAACATGAAGCTCTTAATGCTCACCACAGAGTCACAGTTCCCAGGAGGTGTATCTTGTTAAAGAGACTTCCTAAGGACCAGAGATAAACAAATGGCTGCAGGAAGTGACCTAATGCTCCACTCAGTTCACAGAAAAGCATGTTGCAATGGCTTGACTAAAGACTCCCTCCAACCCCCAAGACTGGAAGGGAGGAGGGAAGGGCCCCGGGAAGACACTGTGAGACCGTGACATCGCACAGCACATACTGAAACAACAGCAAGAGGAGTGACTTTAAGAGAGCCGGTGATGTCTATCTACTAACACAGTCTCGACTGAAAATCACTGGTTTTCAGAGCCACACTCAAGAGACTGAAAGCCAAGTAACAGAACAGGAAGAGGCCTCAATTCTGTTCCTCAGTCGTTCGGCTATTTTAGGCAAGCCTCTTTAGCAACTGTCATAGGGTTTCTACTGCTGTGACAAAACATCATGACCAAAAGCAACTTGGGGAGGAAAGGGTTTATCTCACGCTATAGTTCCACATAACAGCCAACACAGAGGGAAGTCAGGGCAGGAACTCACACAGGGCAGGAACCTGGAGGCAGGAGCTGATGCAGAGGCCATGGAAAAGTGCTGCTTACTGGTCCTGCTCCTCATGGCTTCCTCAGCCTGCTTTCTTATAGAACCCAGGACTACCAGCCCAGGGGTGGCACCCCTGACAGTGAGCTAGGCCCTCCCTCATCAATCAACAATCAAGAAAATGCAATGTAAGCTTGGCCACAGGCCAACCTGGTAGGACACATTTTCCCAACTGAGGTTCTCTCTCTTCTCAAATGACTCTAGCCTGGGTCAAGTTGACATAAAACTAGCCAGCACAAACCAAACAAAAACTATTCCTTGTATGGTATAAGGGACAAAGCTACCTACCTGATTGCTGGACATATGAAATTTTATATACATAGATGCATGTATATATATAAAATCCAGGTCAGTACCTTGTCAGTATTATTAACTAGCTCTTAATTTTATCAAAGCTAGGAAAATTAGTTATTCTAAGGACTCTCGGTCATTCACAGCTTTGGAAGAAGAAATGGGAGGAAACATCCCCACCCCCACCCTCAACTGGCCCCAGGCCATCTGGACATTCTCATGCATGCATGAAGGTGAAAGTTCATCCACACTGCCTGGCTTTTCTCCAGGTACTCCAGCTTACAATGTAGGTGGAAGTTTGTCTGAGGTACATGTTTCAGCTTTAAAAAAAATATTGTCTACTCTCCCTGGAAAAATGTGCAGCATCAAGTAAAGGTTCTTTATATGAGTATCTCCTGCGTGCTTTTAATAGCTTGAGTAAGATGGTAAAGTAGAGAAAATTCTCATTTCTTTTTTTTTTTTTTTAAGGTAAGCAAACCACGTAATTTAGTGATCAGAAATAATTATCTCTACGAGGAGAGGGTGACACCAGGGACACTGTCCACATGTTCTGTATCTAAGAGGTAGGCAAACAAATACTTCCTGAAGGAAGATCATTAAACTTAAAAAACAAAACTTAAGCTGGAGAGGTGGCTCAGCTGTTAAGAGCATTTGTGCTCTTCCAAAGAACCTGAGTTCAGTTTCTAGAATTCATGTTGGGCAGTATATACAATTTCTAACTCCAGCTCCAGGGGATCCAATGCCTGCTTCTGGCTTCCATAAGCCACATCCCCAACACACCTACATATAAAAATAAATCTTAAAGAAAAACCCTTCTTACTATTAGGATACACAAGCATACATAATTATTTGGTAATTTCTTAAGTATTCATTACTCAGTTCCAGTCATTATGAGCCAATTTTAAAGCTACAGTTTTTATCCTGAGTTTTACAGGAACACTGAAGCACATATACCTCCTCCCCAAATTGTAATTTAAAAAATGTATTTGTTAAGAGCTTAGAAAGAAAAGGAGGGAGGTAGGAAGTCAGGCAGGCAAAACAAAAAAGGTCCCCAAACAAAAACACTGGTTTTCCTCTTCCTATGTGATTTCAAAGGCAAATCTTCCCCTAAACCCCAACAAGACTAGGCCGAATTACTCTATCAAGTTCACAATCCTCCTGCGGTAACAGGCATGCACCACCAACCTGGCCAGCAAGTGATAAGACAGAAATCCTAAAGTCATACCATAAATCTTTCCAAGAGCCTTCAGAAGACAATCAAAGGAACAGGGTAGAAAGGGTTTGGAAGGACAAATGGAATATGAGGACTGATGGACAAAAATGAAAAGAGCAGAATTCTAGACTTTTATGATGTTGTTCCTATACCGTAAGAGTTCAACACATGAACAACACAGTGTCTCGAATGGTTTAATCACACACTAACAAAACTGCTCTGGCAACTTCTTCAGAGTCATAAAACCAGCAGGCGGACTCGTCTTCACAGCTGCTCCAATGTTTCTGCCCCTTCAGTCCTTACTATTAGGAAAACCACTTGTGGCATGTAACTGAGTACAGCATCCCCTGCCGTCTCTGCCGTGGGGAAGACCTCTTAGAGGACAAAACAGAATTTGCTGCACACAGAAACAACCTCAAGCTTCCAACCTCCATCTTCCCTAGCTCCTCACTAGAGAAAAAACTTACTTCTTTACCATAGATCTAGAAAGTTCCAATTAAGCAGTCTGGAGGAAAGGTGATGTCATCAGACTTAGCAGTGAGTTTCAGGCATCCACATATTAATCAGAATGACTCTATGGTTAGTTTATATATATGACATCATACAGTCTGAGTTGCGGTCCCTTCCTAACCACTGAAGGGTGTTCACTGTCATCTGACTTAGTTCATACTAAAGGAACTCCCATGTCTTTTGACTTCAATGCAAGTTTCAAGCCACTCATGTAACCAGCCATGATTTTTTCAGAAAATAAATCTAATAAATCTGGCCAATGCCCGTTTCTAAGCCCTGGCAATGGACTTTTCTTCTTTAAATAGAATACTTACACTCCTTTGTGAGTGCTCCAGCTAGGCTGTTTGTTGCAGCTTAGATAGAGAAAGAAGGGAGGGAGGGAAGGCGGCAGCAGGCAAAACAAAGTAAGTGTCCCCACAGCCACTCTCAATACAAGGCCTCGCTGGATCACAATTCATTAGTTAGTCACAAGGGGAAATCACAGAAAAAAGGGTTCAGTAAGGCCAAATGAGATCGGGAGAACTGCTGGTCAAAATGAACAGAAGCGTCCTCTAATACCTTGGAGAAGATGATGCTGTCCATTTCGTCACTGGGTGAGTGGAAGAGGTCAGAATCACTCCCTGAGCCTCTCTGAAGCACGCCTTCTTTTGAGGCACACTCGGTGCCCAGTCCAACATCTAAGAAGCTTTCACATTCTGAAAAAGAGCAATTATTTAACCAATACCTGTTTGTTTGTTGTTTAAAAATTCACTTCCTGCTTCATACCAACACTCAGTCATTTCTTTCTATTGTTCATCCACCTCTTCGCTTTCCCAGCCTTTCTTCCATTTTAGATATTTACAAAGTTAGAAAGGTCGTAGTCTAGGAGCTTTTAGGTATATTAACTGACACAGTTACTTTTTCTGTTAGGCATTTGGCTAGGTTCTGGGAAGACATTTAACATGTTCTTGCAGAATGGGCTATTCACAATCTTGTACAAATGAACACAGTAAGAGATAATTTCATTGCAGAATTATATAAAGAATACCATAATAAGGAGGTAGGACCTATGAGTTAATCTTAAATCATTAAGTCACAATTATGAGCTTAGTGGATAATTTCACAATGTTAGTTCAATGGAAATAGTATGGTTTCTTCAAAAGACCGTAATTATGGGTATTTTAGCACCCCCATTCTATACAGAACACAATAACAGTACGGTTGGTGGGTTTGTAATATTTCTATTCCTGCCTTTTTTTTGCCATTTGGAAAACACCAAAAAACTCTGTATTGTGACTTGGGGAAAATGGGGGTGCCGGCTAAGCAAAGAAACTGCTGGAGCTGCTAGAGGACCAGCTACAATCTAAAGACTATGTCTAAATGCCAGCCTAGAAAAGAAATCCACACAATACACTTTCATAAAAATCCACAGATTCACCTCTGGTAGGAGTACCTTATCCAAAAAATAAAGCCAAGCTAGCCTAAGGTTACAAGCCAAGTTTGGGATAAGAAGAGGTTAATGTGTGAGATTAAATTGGCTGTTTGGAGGAAAGAAGAATACGGAGTGGGGAAAGTAGTAGAGGAACAACCATAAGCCATTACAGCCCCACCATGACCTTCATTGGGGTAGGGATCCCTAAAGGCAAACTTAATGTACACTCCATGTCACGTATGCTGGGACATTTTCAAAAGAAACAGAATCCTTACTTTCTCCCGACACTCCCTTCCTAATGAATGAAGTGGAATATATTAAAGTATGAAGTGGAAACAAGAGCAAAGAACACTGATTTTAGGATGTTTAGATGGCTCTTGCTTAAAAGAAAAACCCAGGCAATTTAACCCTGTGGGTTTTCACTTCTATACCAGTAAAATGGGATGACTAGTACATCCCTAAGAGTCACACTGACAGTTAACAGCACATTAGAAATGTAGTAACGAGACATCTGGCCTGGATGGAGCACACTGCAGGTGTGTGATACATATGCCTAAATCATGTTCAGGCTTCATTAATCCTTAATGTATGACCAATCTACTTATTCTTGGAGTTATAATGTAAAGGGGTATTTTTAACAGTTCACGATGATGACCTGACAAAAACTGCAACTCAAATCAAGTTCCTTAAAGAAACAGAGCCATGACGTCTAGAGGTCCTTCCGTGTTACGAATATTCAAATTCCAAGACTTTACTAAACAATCACATGGCAGAAGTTTCATTCTTGGGTAGCTGGTTACACTTTCAGAAAAGTCACTGATAGCTAAAGGAACCAAAACATAGGTGTGGGCATACTTTTACTTCCAACACCTTTGAATTTGTAAGCCTTGCATACAACCATACATAATATTCTGAAATAGCACTCTCAAGAAGTGTGAAAAATACAGAAGAAAACACTTTCCATATTAGTTTTCAATACTTCTTTTGTAATAGAGTCAAGAGTTGAGAAACGATAGAAAATCTCTCAGGGCATAAAAGACTAGGGCAATCTTTTCTCAAGTTAAATAGTACTGCAAGACATCCACAGCTAAATTGTCCCTAAAAGGCCAGCAAATGAGAAGGATTTGATAATTTCTAAAGCAGCTTAGTAAAAACCAGAACAGTAAACAGAGGCTTTGTTGGTGAAGCATGCTGGAGAACTCAAAAATGCAAAGTGCTCATATATATATAATGGCAGATCACAACATCAAATTATTTCTTCCAGAGCAGGACTGTGACCAGGCCTACCTGAGCTCTGTTTGGAAGCCAGAAGAGATGCTGCTTCAGGGCATGGCTCTATGGTACACCAGCTTTCTCGGTTGATCTGGAAGAGAAAAACAATTTGTTTTAGACAATAAGGTAACTTTATAGCTTCAGAAAGTCTGTGTATTGTTCACCTCCTCTGACTGTTAGTATTTTATTGCAAGGTAGGTAAAATTAGGCTAAAAGAGAAAACAAACTCTACTGTAATATAAACAAGGCAATCTACTTTGCACTAAAAGCTCTGACAAGATTGTCAGTACTAATGGCATACAAAAGCAATGGAAAAAGATTCACAAAGGGCAAGCCACAGTACAGACCAAGGGTGAAAAAAAAAAAAAAACTAAGAAAGAATACTAAAATCACATATTTGGTGTCATAACTTGCAATTTTGAAAAGCATACAAAATTTGAGAATTTTAAAAATACAAAATAATCCCTATTTAAGAGTACACCAGGTACTATGTTAAGAATTCATTACTTGTCTGGCTTACAGAGTTGAGTTCCAGGATAGCCAGGGCTATAGAGAGAAACCCTGTCTCGAAAAACCAAAAAAAAATTCTGAACTCATTTTCTCATCAAATGATCATAATAGCTACAGGAAGTTTATGTCATTTCTATTAAAACCAAAGGCGGGGGCTCAGAAGGGTAAAACACAGTAGAACGGCACCCGGAGAAAGTGTGCAAAACTTGGAAATGCAAATGTACTCCATCCCTGAGACACACTGCTTAACTACTTTATTATGAGAACTCCTAATTTCACTGATGTTTAAGTAATACGTTTTTAAATTAACATTAAACATTTCAACATTCTGTTCTCAGTACCTGACAGAACAAGTAGATAGATACAAGGATCTAGAAAACGTCAGAAACTTCTAACAGTTCGACCTAATTAACACACAGAATGTGCAGCAGGGCACATGCCTAAGTGTGCTTCCAATGTTCATATGGTGACACACAAAACAACACAAAATAAAATAAAACTTCTGGGCTTTAATACATAAGAAATGCTGCATATTTAACAGGATTAAAAACCACAAAAACTTTGCTTTTTATTAACCACAACACTATTAAAGCCGAAACCCAAATCAAAAGTCTGGAACCCTACACAAATCTTAAAAAACAGAAAAAAAAAAGTTTTTGCAAAGAAAACACTATTAAGTAACCTAGAATTCATATAAGAAATATTAAAGAAAATATGCTGAACTAAATACAAATTAAAGTTTCCATATAAAAATTTGCAGGATATCACTAATGCATTGCTCAGAACAAAAATTGAACACTTTAAAATGCCTTCACTAGAGAAGTTCCAGGAGAAAGGTAAAACAAACACCAACCCAGCCACAAACCCTTAGATCAATAATGATTTCTTGCCTGTAAGACATGCTAATGCAATGGTGGCATAAAGTTTGTGAGAGTAACCAGCTAACATCTGATCTGACTGAAGGCCCACTCCATGAAATGGAACCTATACCTGATACTGCTTAGGTGACCAAGAAGTTGAGACTAGATGGCCCAGAGACCTAGGGTAAAACCAAATACTATTGGTCTGAAAAAAAAAAAAAAAGTAACAATACAATGGCTCCTAATGATATTCTGCTATACTCATAGATTGGTGACTTCTTCAGCCATCATCAGAGAGACGTCCTCCTGCAGCAAATGGGAACAAATCCGGCATGGTGGTTCGAACGTAACTGGCTCATAGGGAGTGGCACTATTGGAAGGTGTGGCCTCGTTAAAGGAAGTGTGTCACTGTGGGGGCAGGCTCTGAGGTCTCTTTTGCTTAAATTTCCCTCAGTGTCACAGAACACTTCCTGTTGCCTTCTGATCAAGATGTAGCCAGTACCATGTCTGCCTGCACACCGCCATGCTCCCCACCAGAACTGTAAGCCACCACCCAACTAAATGTTTTCTCTTACAAGAGTTTTCTGTGGTCATGGTGTCTCTTCACAGCAATAGAAACCCTAACTAAGACTTAAGAGAGCCACAGCCAGATATTGTGCATAAAGACCTTAGAACACTCAGTCCTAAATGGGATGTCTCCATCAAATCCATCCCCTAAGGGCTCAGAGAACTCTGCAGAAGAGGAGGAAAGCATGTACAAGTTAGAGGGGATGGAGGACACCAAGGAATCAAGGCCTTCAAGATACAACAGGGCTGGCACACACATGAACTCACCAAGACTGAGGCAGCATACACAGGTCCACAGCAGATGGGGCTCTAGAGCTAAATGGCGAAGTGGACACATGCCCCCATCCCAGAAGCAATCTCTAATTGATTACTACTTGCAAATGAAAATTTAGTTCCCTCCAAGGAAGTCTCACTGTGGAAATAAACTATTCTTAAGGGTGAGCTGCATGCCCAGCCGTAGATGACCAACAGAAAAGGAACACAATGGCATCTTTGGAGGTTCCTTGTCTCATAATGGTGGGTCATGGATTTTCCCATTAAAAAAAATTGTTGTGCTATTTTTTATTTTTATTTTATGTATTTTTTTCTCTTTTTACCCTATAAGTCCTTTAGGTATATATTACAGTTTCCAGTTTAGTGTTTTTATGGGATTCCTGAATGTGCAAATGGGTGGGTCTCTGTGTCTATATGTTTCTTGTGCCTTTTCTTGGGCTCTTTTTCTTCTGTTTGTTAGTTTTGTCCTATTCTGATGTGTTAATTTTTGTTTTATCTTATTTTATTATATTATTATCCTGTAGAAGCTTGTTTGTTTTCTAATGAGAGACAGGAAGGGGGTGGATCTGGATGAGAGGAAGAGCTAGGAGGAACAGAGGGAGGGAAAACCATAATTAGAATTTATTATGTGAGAAAAAAAATCTACTTTCAATAAAAGGAAAAAAATATCAAGAAACAGCACATTAATTCAAAACCAGCAAGTAAAAATGGGAATGGACAGAATTCAGTGTTTCAGAAAGCAGAAAAACAGCAAGTTTCAACAGTCAGAAAAGCTGGTCAGTAGTATCAGCAAAACTCTAAGAGCCCTGATGAGAAAGGTTACTAGCTACCTATTAGTACCATGAACCTAACAGGGAAACTACAGAGTCCAGACACTGGAAGGACAATAAAAAAATCACTATTTTGTGTAAAATTCATTAAATCTAATGAAATAATCAAAATTTTCTCATGATGACTTAAATAACTTGAATATTCATAGTTTAAAACTTTCCTTTAGAGCCAGGCAGTGGTAGTGCAGGACAGGGGGATCTCTGTGAGTTCGAGGTCAGCCTGGTCTTCAGACTGAGTTCCAGGACAGTCAGGGATGTACACAGAAAAACTCTGTCTCATAAAAACAAAACAAACAAACAAACAAAAAACAAAAACTTCCCTTTAAAGAGGAACCTAGGCCTAGAGGCTTACTGGTGAATTCCACAAATGCTTTAGGAAGAGATAATACAAATTTTACATAAATTCTTTCAGGAAATAGATAAACAACAGCTCACAGCTTATTTTCTGGACCCAACACTACTGACATCAGAACCAGTTAAGATAGGAAAACAATGATCACACTTAGGTACAAAGGAGCACAAGAAGCATGAGCAAAATTTCTGATAGCCTGACTTAGGCAATACATGTGGAAGATAAGCATAGTGTGAACAAGTGGGTTAATTCTAAGAACAAAAGGTTATCATAGTATTGCAAAAGAAAAGATATATACATAACAGTAATTGATGGAGGAAGGAAAGGGAAGGCGGAAATAATGTAAATACATTATAGTCTCAAAAAATAAGAAATAATTTAAAAATTCAATTTACTCTACAAACTCACAAACTGAAGAATACCAAAAGGAAAAACTTGGTAAAATGTGATATTTACTAAAATAAGTAATCAGAATACTAATAGAAAAAATTCCTTTAAGCTGGGCAGTGGTGGCACACGCCTTTAATCCCAGCACTCGGGAGACAGAGGCAGGCAGATCTCTGTGAGTTTGAGGCCAGCCTGGTCTACAGAGTGAGATGGAGGATGGTCAGGGCTACACAACACAGTGCAACCCTGTCTTGAAAAACCAAAAACATCATGAATACAAAATATGCATAAGAAAGCAGTGTCATTCAACAGGAAAACTATAAGGAAGAGGTTGGAAAGATTGCTCTTGGTAGGGGTGCCTGCTGCTCTTCCAGAGGAAACCTGTATAAGGAAGCTCAGAATTGCCTGTAACTCCAGCTCCAGGGCATCTGATGCCCTTCTCTGGCCTCTGGGGTTACCTGTATACACATATCATACACATATGGACATTAAAAAAAATTAAACCTTAAAGGCATATCAATAAATGTCCACTAGAACAGCTAACATTAAAGACTAACAATATAGAGTGTCGGGCAGAATGTAAAGGAAACATGGACATACTGCTGATGCTATGTGAAAGGAAAATCAAATTTTGGAAACTAAGGCAGCCGTTCCTGTAATGTCAAGCACATACTTATATTCCACCCAGCAATGGACTAAGTTATTAATCCAAGCAAGATCTTTCTTTTAAAATCCTCGCCCCCATCTGCATTCACACTCATGCCACGGTGTGCATGGGGACGTCAGAGGACACCTTGAGGAAGATGGTGCTCTCATACCACAATATGGATCCCTGTTATCAAACTCTGGTCATCAGGCTTGGTAACATCACCTTTACCTACTGAACAGCCTTGCTAGCCCCAAACATATTCCTACCCACACTAAGACTGTTTAATAGTAGCTTAACTCATGACAGAAATAATCTGTCATATATCCATACAATGCAATACTCCTAAGGAATGATTAAAACAACATGGACCAATCTCAATAGTATTATGCTAAGAGGCAGAGGGCAAAGTCTAGGCACAGGAGCCTACCTACTGTAAGTTTTAATCTGTATGCCATTTTAGAAAAGGCAAAACTTCAGTGCCAGAAGTCATGTCAGTGATTCACAGGGATTTTGAGCTGAATCAATGTAATCCCATGTGATGGAGCAGTGACTATACAATTTAATGTTTACTAAAACCCACCAAAATGCAAAGGCACACTGGGTGGGTGGGTATGTATATATGTACATATGTATTTTGGTGCTAAGAATCAAACCCAAGGCTTT